AATATTCCTCCTTGTATTTCTCGCTCCCCCTTTATGCCCTTCTCTCTCTTTCACACTGTGTCAAATTCGTTAGCGCGGCAACTTGATCGCAAATACCGTGACAGCCGTCCATCTTCTCCGATGAGAACGTAACCGTCGTATAGTTGAAAAAACCTAGATCCGTTTCGCAGACCCCCGATCTCTTTTCATCCCTGTTAATCGAATGCCTTCACGGTGACCGATGACCGCTATCTCCGCTCCGTTTTGGCTTTTCGTGGTCTGGGACGAGTTGCTTGTCCTCTCCTCGATACCAGACGAGAGTCTCCTTCTATGGGTAGATTTAAGGCGTCACGGGACATTAAGCGTCGCCGCTACTCGCCACCCTTCGACTCGCTCATAGACAGCCGACGAAAGGTAAAATTGAAAGAAGAATTCGGAAGCTGCGAGTTGGTCGTTGGATAATTATCGTAAATTCGTACGCTCTCTGCTCGGGACGATCGTCCGTGGGGGTAAAGCGAATTTCGAGTCGAAGGATGTTAAAAACTTTTCCAACCGATATCTCCGAGAGATACATTTTCGAACACGACCAGGCGAGCAAAGCTTCCGAACTGATAGAAACGAGTTTAAAATAGTGGCAAACGGAAGACACGTGGAGGAAATAAGGAACAGCCATCGGAAAAATGGACTGTCGGGTTTCCAGACGAATCGGGAAACGTAAAATTGCACGAACATCGGTGCAAAATATAACTATACCAGCGAGAATTTGCGTACAGCGAATCGTCGCGTTCGAAATATTCGCGTAAAGTATGTAACGCGAAAACGTTTAAGAAATTTATACGGATACGGAAAAGTTGATCGCGCGGTACGAGTGTCGGGCGACGAAAGCGATGCACGACGAGCCGTGAAAAGAGGGGACAATCGAGAATATGGAAATGTATGGAAATATATGGAAAATACTTTGAAGACCGTTTCTCCAAGGAACACATATGGAAGCTATTTCGAGGGATGTCGAGCAACGATCACTGTCACGGTGGTCAAAACTGCATCTGTGATTTCAGTGGACCCCTCTTCGCGATACACAGCCTCGGACACTGATCGCTCTTGACGCATGCCGAGATCTCTCGCGATCTCCTAAAATCAACTCGCTTGTAATAGAAACGAATCGATTATAGTTTCCCGACCGACGTGCAATTTTTTCTCGGATACGTAAGCCGTTTCGCGATCCGCTTTGGCGTTGGATCGACACCCCCCCGGAATCGTACCGGAGGATGTTTGCGTGGAAGAAAATGGGCTTTTCCAGTCGCTGGTCGTCTGAGTCGGCCGACGGGACGGAGATCCGGCAGAAAAGAACGCGTCTCCGAAGAATTCGGAACTCTTTCGCGGACCTGCAAACGCGATTCGCGGTTTGCGAGAGGAGAAGAAAAGAGAGAAAAGGGATGAAAAGGGAAGAGGACAAAGGCGAGGGAAGAGGGCACAGTGTCTGCTCGTAGACACGGGGAGTCTTGCAAAGATAAAGAGGATGACAAAGACACGGTGGAGTGTCCAGGCTCGGCTCATAATTTTCCTTGGGCGGCGCGCGACGTGCGACGTGTACGTGTCACCGCGTCGCGACGCACCCGTCCGTCTCATCGCGACTGGAACACCAAAAACGAACCTCCGGCTATTTTATTGCCGTTCTCCGGACTCGCCAGATTCCTCCGTTTTCTCTTCTTTCCTTTCTTTTTTTCCTTTTTTCTTTTTTTCTTTTTTTCTTTTTTTCTTTTCCTCCCTCCCTTTTCTTTCTTCGTTCCGACTAAAAATCGCCGAACGCGCTTTGATTTAGCGAAGCTCGGCGATCCGCGAATCTCCGCCGGCGAACTTTTAAATATCACGCGATGCTCGCGTGCAGAGCCGAGCGGAATCGTAGAATTTGCGAACGAGATACGCGACGACGAGAACCGAGACGGTTTCCCATTTATTTCGAAGAAAATAATCCGGTCTGAGCGAATGTCGAAAGTGGGCAGCGAAGGAACGGATGCACACAGCCGCGTTTTATTGGGCCAACACGGGTGACAGCAAGAGTGACTGCGCTCGTAAAAGCCTCGTATAAATAAAATCGCCGGGAATATAATTGTTGCTGAGAGCCGGGAACGTTCGTTCTACGCCGAGCTATATAACGCGGTCAGCTACCGCTCCGTTTTCCGCCTCTTTTTATAATCAATTTTTCACTCATTTTCTCCACAAAACTGCCCGACAATTCGCCGCGAATTCTTCCCTTTCCCGTCCATTACCTAGGATTCCGGGTCGACAGCTATTACGCGGTATCGGCCAGCTTGGCGATTTATCCGACGCGCGGGATTACCGTCGGGTGTCACTCGTATCACCACTCGGAGAGAACGCAGAATGTACGGAGGAACTGGATTGTTCTCGCGAAACGTTCGCGAAACATTCGCGAAACACGATTACCGATACTGCTTTTACGTTCGATATTTTATTTTTCGCGACAGTCGATGGGGGAAAGAAAAGAAATGACACGAAAGGACGCGAAGTTCCGAATAAAGTGTTTGCTTCGTTGCGAAGTTCCTTTCTTTTACCTTTCTTTGTCGTTCCAGCACTCAGCCTCTTTGACGTTCTCCTTCCTTTTCTTCTTTCCCAAGAAGCACGCATTTTTTACCCTCGGTTCGTGCTTGCACAGGAACTGGTATTCGAACGGATCCTATATTCTTTCGGGGGATTAATCGAAGCTAACGTACGATGTTCGTAGCTACCCGATGGTAAATATAAATATGTTCGTCGAAAGCGAAATTCGAATGGAAACGCGCTTTCGACGAACAGGTATACGTTCGGTTTTACGAGCATCTTTATAAAGTCACAGGCCATTTCCGTTCGCTTCTATAAATTCGGTTAAATCGGATCGGGCGTAGGAACTGAGAAACCGCCAGCGCGTATCTCGTTTTCTTCGAAAGTTGAAGGAAGTTAGGAATACAAGATGTGGGATCGGGAGCTCGCGTTAGGGCGAAATCGTTACTCGACACTCTTGTGTAACGAGAGCCAAGCCGCAGCTATGAAGAAGACCAATGTTCCGGCGCATAAAGAACCGTGGTTTAGCGTGTCCCTGAAAACCGAAACCACCATGACGCCGGCGCCTCTCGTTTATTCTCGTCTTATAAATCAAAACGCAAACGCGTATACCGTGTTCGAACTTACTCTTTTCGAGTAGTATCGAAAACAGCGAGGAAAGTTGGCGCGAGAGCTTCGCTCGATCGACGTAACGACGATTCGGGAATCCCGACGTTTCGACGTTTCAAAAGTGTCGGCGAATCGAATTGATATTCCTCGGGATTTTCTGAAATGTAAAACGATCATCAGGACGGTAGGATCCAGATTATCATCTGGATAACCGATAGCGCACGCGTACACCGGTATTTAAGCGGTAAAGGGTTGCATCCGGAAAACACCAGAAAGCTGTGCTATCGTTTAGAAACCAATGAGCATCTAATGAAGGTGGAGCTTGCCGAGGAAATCTCCACCTACTCTTAAAATGCTCTATTTCTCTCCTCTCCTGCGTGCGTGTCTCCCTGCGTAAAAGGAAGATCGAGAGGCAAAATGAGAGGAGAAGAAAGAGAGAGAGATCGAGGGGCCAGCGAGAGGAAGAGAGGGGAAAGAACGAAGAGGAGAGACAAATGAAGAGGCTGAGGAGGATCTTCAAGTACGTTTTAACTCGGCCAAGTCAGTTGGCATCTCGCCGCACCAACTAATGCGATGGCTTTGTTTCGTCACGTTTCCCGAAACGATCTCTCGACAAAATCGATCGACCAGTGATTTACGCGCGATTCCGCCAAAAGTCAGCGTTTAAACGCGAAACAAACGTTTCTCGCGATCCAAGGCTTTTTCGCCATTTTTATAGTGGGTGATCACCGTATCGTACTTTCATCTTTGCAAAATATCTTTCCTAACGGCGAATTTTATTGTCCAGAATATTTGTCCGACGTTATAACGAATTTACTAGTGCAGAGTGCTAGTTACCGAGGCTTTTCGACAGAATCGCCTCTTTGTGCAATGACAGTTGTCCCCAAGAAATTTTTCGAAACGATTGACAAAGAATCGAAGACGCTTGTCGCGAGATAAGAAAGCTTCCGTGCTATTCTTGCGTTATGTAAAACAAGGCTTCCCCGCTATTCGAATGATCGACGATTAATGTCGGAAAATCGCGAAACGTCTGATAAAACGGTGAATTTGTAGAAGAGAAGGTACAGGGAACCACGCTCACCGGAAATCAACGTTCGTTAGATACCGTTGGCATAAAGAATCATAACCGAAGCAGCAGGGTTCTTTCTATTTCCTCGGATTTGCATGATCTTACTCGATATTCGATACAGGAAAAGAGACACGGGAACATCTTCTCACCCCTTCTTGTCGAGACCAGCAAATGTTAAAGACGAATTATAATCGATCGTAATTACCTCGATCACAGTCATCGATAACACGATCACGGTGTAAATTCACAAAGATTTCACAAAAATGTTGAGGAATTAAAAGCGACGATTACCGATCTTCCGATGTTCCAATCGGTTATAATCCCACGAGTGTGCTACATATTTGTTAATACATAGTGTTTATTAAATAACGCGTCATATTCGATCATTTAAAAGCAAGAAATGCCAAAGAAGCATCGATAAAGAGAAGCAATTTTCGCAATACTGGTTGCAAAATAAAGAAACCATTTTACGAACACTCACGTTCGAATAGGTTGGGGCGTATTCGACGAGCACGTGGCACGAGAGCATTGTTACATTCGAGCTTTACTTTGGAAATGCTTCGATCAAGATTTCCAAAAACGAATCACGCGTAAGAGAGCTCGTTTTCATTTCGTAGCATATTTTCGACGTTCATAGACGATCGTCGAATATTAATTTTAACGAATTTTCGTCGAATTCTTAAAAATATTCGTGCTGAACTTACCCCAGGGGGGGGTAAAGAGGAATGCCATTTCACGGTTTATCATCTACCCGTTTATACGTGTGAAAACGATTGAAAACGATTTGAAAAATAAAAGACACGCTTGGTAGGACAATAAAAACTGATAATTGACTTTCTCGCGAATGAAAACTCATTCGTGGCTGATTTGAAAGAGGCAAATTTGCGAAACGGCGGGAAAAGATGATGTGTGCAAATTCGGAACAAGCGGAGAACAACAGCGTGATAGTTTCACAAATCACGAGTCCTCATACGCCGCAGGATTTCACGGTCTCGCGCTTACTGTCGACGCCGATTAATTCGTTGGGTAAGAATCGTTAGAATTTGTGCGAAGGTTTACGCGAAGAGAAAGAGAATAAAGTGGAATTTGGTAGTGCGTGGTTCGCGAGCTTGCACATCAGGCTATGCACGCCTGACGCGTTTCTACGTTGAATCCGTGATGCACGACGAATTCGATTTCATCGAAATCGCGCATTTCCAGTCATGCTGTTCGCGTTATGCCGCTTTGATGAATGCTCAGGCACAGTAGAGTCATTCAAGAATAGCCACGCCTGTGCTGCTCCTCCTCTTTATCCTTTTCCTTTTTACAAGCGTTACTTCCTTATCTTAGTCGGCATCTTGAAATCTTCCACTTGAATTCTCCATTCTCTCTCGCGTTCTGATTCTACGCGATTAATAATTCGAATAACTGGCAATTCACGCGGTAAACGGTATATGCTCGCGTGTATTTCACAGAATGCAACGAAAGTTCTACGACGGCGACGTGTAGGAGACCTAGAAGAAGTAGGACAACATTCTCGGCGCAACAATTAGCTGCGTTGGAAAGGGTGTTCGAAAGGACGCATTATCCGGACGCTTTCGTACGAGAAGAACTTGCGACACGAGTATCTTTATCGGAAGCCAGAGTACAGGTAATACCGGGGTATTTCCAAACTAGAAAGAATTTCATACGCGAACAAGGGGCGATTCGAATTTGCGTTTAAATACGTTCGAGGGTGAGATATTTGCTTTGCGAAAGAGAAGAAATATCACGGTGTAAGCATGTAAAAGAGAAAAAGTATCGTATCACTGGTGGGCCAAGTTCACACATGTTCCTTGGGATTATGGTGGCTAACGTTAGAAGGAAGACAGACAGGCAGACGAACGTAGAAGAAAGAGAAGAAGGAGAAGAAGGAGAAGAAGGAGAAGAAGGAGAAGAATAAGAGAAAGAAAAAGAGGAAAAAGAAAGAAAGAGGATGGAGGTCGCGGCGGATAGCTAAGCAGAAAATCAGAGGAGACAGGTTGTCAGGGGCAAGGAGCTATGATTAGCTTGGCAGGATAGTTGCGTCGTTCCAGCGGCATCTGTGGCTTGGCATACGACGTATTCTGTACCGTACGCTGTACGATACGTTGCGTATCTAGCACGTGTGTGGTGACTCTTATACGGTTGTGCAGAAAGCACACTTTTCGTTAGTCGTGTCAATCCATCCACTGCTGGTACTGGTGTTACGTCCTTCGCCTCCCGCTGATGTCTGTCTATTCGTCTGTTTGCTGTGTGTACTGTACGGTTGCCAGAAGCCGTCACGCTGTCCCGTCTTCGCTTGCCGCGTCCCTCCTTGCCTTTGCTTCTTTCTTTTTCTCTTTCTCCCTTCGTTCAACAATTACGGCTTGCCACAACTACTGCATCTTCGTTTCTTGGTTCTTGTTCAAAAAACTCGTGGAAATTTTGGCTCTGTCCCGTTCCACGGAATCGACCCCGAACTGCATCGCTACGATCCTACAGATGCGATAGTTCTCTTCGTTATTATATCGTGTTTCTTGGATGAAATTCAACATTTGGAAATTTTACTCGTAGGTATGGTTTCAAAACAGACGCGCCAAGTTTCGACGAAACGAAAGAAGCTCGGCCATTAATCGAGGTGTTTCCTCGAACAGAGAAGTGGAGACCACTTTACCCTTACGACCTATCAGAATAACGCACACGCAGGAAAACAACTCCGAGTCTCTACAGACCTCTCAAGTGGGACAATATCCGTACAGCGAGTACTGGCGATCATCGCAACATTACACCTCTATGCAAACTTCTACCTGTCATGGATTTATCAATGGTAATTTAGCAAATGTCAATCTTCCCCCGTATCATCAGACAGAAATCCACGGAGGATTCGAAGGATCTGCAATGAGTAGCTTAAATGCACTACGATTCAGAGCGCATCCATACGGAACCGCGTATTCTGCCATGCACGCAAGCATGTAAATCCCCCCGCCCAACATAGATCTACGCATAACAATATCTCTTTAGAACCGTGATACTTGTCAAATTTAACCTACGTATGTATTTATTAAATACCAAAGTTTCTATCAACATCGTGTAACTCAATTTGGAGGAAAGAAAATGAATGTTATACAAAGGACCAATAGATCAAACACGGTTGCACAGACGTTAGGGCTTAAGCAGAAAATACAGGGTAATGGAAATAACTTGAAACGTTATTTTGTAGAACTGAATTAGCTTAATAAATAATAAAAATCGTAAATGTATTATCTTCTTAATACAAGACATCTATACAGGAAATGGTATATTAGTTTACAAAGTTATTATGTTATATATTTTAATCATAGAAAACGAACAATATATAAATACGAAGATCGAACTGTGGAAAAACGGGTTGTATACTCGTTGCGGCAAGAAACATGTAAAATTACAGTCGTAAAATGAATATAATTATCTGTTCACATATAATATACGTATATTGGCACAAAATTAGAATATAGATTTCCTAAGTATATTGGTCACACGCATATTCGTTATAACGCTAATTAAACTAGAATCACGTAAAAAGATTTCAAAAATCTCTTCTTAAATATTAATCGTTATATGTTAATCATCCGTCCAAAATTTCTTCATTGTAGAGATACATCTTTAATACTATACAGTTACTTGTACATTTTGTACCGCATTACTCCAATCTACTTTTGATGGAACTAAATAAAATGCAGGTGCTATTTTGCTGCCACATGGACACTGACTACCTGCTATCCAACTGAAAGAGCCCAGTTTTGTACTACACTTTGGACAATTTAATTTTCCGTCAACATTGTGTGTAATATCGGGCATCCAAGCCAGCGGCTCAACGAACAATATTTTTGTGCAAAATTCTACGGATTGTTGCTCTTCTCTTTGGTGAGGTTCCAACAATTCGTGTGATGTTTTAGATTGTTTAGACGTTTTTCTCGAACTTATATGTCTCCAGATTTGCTTTTCCTTTGGCATATGTGGCAAAATATTGCTAGCGCTGGCCACGATTCTTCGACACTTTTTACAACGATATACTGTTGGTTCTGGACGTACTGTAGCTATTGCTGGATCTGGTTTTATCAATTCTGTGCAATTTTGCGGTAAAATTTTTGCTTTACGCACCTTATCCGCCGCAATTTGTAACCTATACATTTTAAATTGCACATTGGTATTATCTATTCCAAAACCCATTTCTTCGTAAAGTTTTAATTGTGCCAGAAAACCAGGATTGGGACCAACGAAGCGCCTTTTTTCTCTTACAGCTTCAAACGTATCATAAAAGCTTTTCCCATATTTTTTCATTAAATATGCGATAACAATTGTAGCTGATCTAGAAACACCAAAATAACAGTGTACTAAAATTTTGTTGTGTAACTGTAAAGCATGATCTATATACTCGTATGAATCTTCAAAGTGAGTCAAAAGATCTTCACGTGGCATATCAGTAACCTGAATGTATTTTATAGTTAAATTTGGTAGAAGCTCTTGGATCTTTCTAGGAAGTGGACATGAATCTACTGTGAGTATATAATTCAGTTTATTTTCTTTCAACCATTCGATATCTGTAGCAGCTGTAAGATTCCCAAGAAACAAACCAGGAATAATTTCATCGTAACTCGATGGACCAGCATCAAAATCTTCTCTAATTAGCTTAGTAGTCGCTTCTTGTGCCATGATGATTACTCTAGAATAAAGAATAAAGCTACGGCATTGTATCTTTAATGACAATTTATTCTGTCAGTTATAATACAAAACATATAATATAGTAAATTAAATTGTTACAAAATTTTTGAACAGAATCCTTAGAAAAATTGATAACTTAAATAAAACGTAATTTTCTGAAAAATGTAAATAGTTATACTTATATAAAAGAATATAAAATTCCCAAGATCTCTTTACTTGTGAAACATGCTCTAAGCACAAATTATATCTTCTATTACCTTACTTAAACGTATTGCAAATAATTGTAGTATTTCAGATCATAGAACTAGTTTTATAAATATTATTTGAATAATACGAAAAATAAATTTTAATAGCAACATTTTTTATAAAAAAAACTTTATATTTTCTTCACAATGTAAAGTTATTGATATCAAACACAATATGATTTAAGATTAATGAATTTCAAATTCTTTAATAATTTCATGCACATTTCACCTATTTTGTAATATTTTACAAGTAAGTATTTATATCTTTTTATTTTTTTCTTCTACACAACATAAAACAATGAAAAACACACTCTACATTCAAGAAAACTCAATGTACTAGTTTACATTGTTACCGCATTATTACGATGGCGCTACGATAACATTTTTATGGTAGTTCTAAAATCTAAAACTTCGTTACACTGTATGTCATAATACACACAGATTTAATTCCATAGTTACTCAATTATCGTTATTAATTAATCATATTTTAAACATTGTAAATAGAAATATAATCAATTTTTTAATTCTCTTAATGTATCAATGATCATTTTTTTTTTCATGGAAATTTTTATAATGATGGGTAACAATAATTTGGAAATTTATATATAGAGAGTATACGTATGAATGTATACATACAAAACGAATATTTTTATCCATCAAATATATTGTCTTTTATACTCCAATTGTATGTATACATATCTCATATATGTATAATATAAATACAAATACCTACAATTTTAATATGCAACACATGTGATACACACACGTGCGCATATACACGACTGCGCATGGGACACACGCGCACGCAAAATTAATGATAAATATATATTAACTTCTTCAAAATAAATTAAAAGTGCTTATCACTTTTATATACTGTACTACACTAAACTTTCCTTCATTACTAATTAATTGTGTAATCGTGCAATTGTGTATATAATGAACAAAATTATTAAATTATAATAAAAACTTAAAAATACAAAAATATTCTGTAATCAATCGTATCATCGATACAAACAAATTTTACTACGTAATTTCATTGATTTAAAACCACAAAAATTGATTTATTTCAAAACCTTTATACGATTAAAAAACAATATTATCACATCAATATATTTGAAATACAAAAAACATATTGTAAAAACCTGTCGCATTTTGAAAATGGACAAGAAAGCTCTAAAGTGAAAACTAATAGATGGAAACATTGAGGAAATTAAAAACCAGTACAATTCAAATATTTGATCTTTGTACTTTCAAAAAGATCGCGGAATAAATTTTTCGACCACGTATGCCGGAAATGACGCGTACCTCGATCTCCACATCATTCAGAAGAGTTGCGAGGATACCGCTTACGCAGTCGTGCAGAGTAGCAAGCTTACTTGTTCCGTGTTTCTCTGATTTCCTCACTCTCGCCCTCTGTTTCCCTATCTTTGTCTAGTCGTTCCTTCGGTATCACTTGCATGTGCGCACATGTGTATATGTAAGTGGATGGGTACTTTTTGATTTTTAAATAAAACAAGATGCTGCTCTCGCGAGAGGTGATCTCAAATGCGGAAGAAATCGCAGATCAGGTGAATTTACGAGTTATTGTGCTCGACTTATTTTCTTTTACGAATAATTGTTCTTTCACTAAGAAACTCTTAATAGAAGATCAACAGAAATCCTGTAAGAACACAGGTGTACTCCTGTCAACGTCATCGTGACACGATTACTATATATATTGACATATTTTAATTAAAATTTTTCTTTTTCTTAATTATTTTTTAATATAAAGTCTTCCTAATATCATTGAATGTTGCAAATTTCTCTATAATATTGTCTCTACCCTATAAAATTAAAGGTTAGGCATCAATGAAAAGAATGTTTGTTACAAATGCCACTATTTCTATTAGTTTTGATCAATAATTTAATATAAATTGTGTAATTTAGTTTAAACAAATTAAATTAATATAAATTTTAAAAAATATTTTATTTTTAAGCATTATTTAATTTCTCTATTTATGTAATACTTTCCTTATTGTTACCATCTCCATGAGAAATACTTATTTATTTTTTACTATTAAAAATAATTATTTTATATACTATTAAAAAGTATTCAAAAGATCTATAAAAGGTAATGTAGATAACTTTCATACTGTAGACATATTGCTCATCTTTTAAGTATAAAATATGTTTTTAATTATTATTCCTTTATAATCACAGGTAATCCGCAATGGAAAACACATATTACCAACTCTTGCAAGACTTTGTCTCATAGCCACATTTCTAGAAGATGGATTAAGAATGTGGTTTCAATGGTCTGAACAAAAAGAATTTATGAACAATAGTTGGGAATGTGGTACCTTTTTAGCTACAATCTTTGTCTTGGTTAATTTAATTGGACAACTTGGTGGTTGTGTTATGGTTATTGGAAGATGGAAAGTCAGCATTGCTTGTGGAATTTTATTCTTCATAGTAGTTCTTCAAACTTTAGCTTACAATATTTTGTGGGACGTAACATTTCTATTCAGAAATTTAGCGTTGATAGGAGCACTTCTCCTAGTTTTGGCTGAATCAAGAGTTGAAGGAAGATCATTATTTGCTGGTGTCCCAAGTCTTGGAGATAATAAACCTAAAAATCTTTTGCAATTAGCTGGCAGAATTTTATTAGCATTTATGTTCACAACGCTAATTCGCTTTGAAATATCAATCCTTCAAATTATGCAAGATATTCTTGGAAGCAGTTTGATGGTATTAGTAACCATTGGATATAAGACTAAACTGAGTGCATTGTTGCTTGTCTTATTATTATCTGCACTGAACCTTTATCACAATGCATGGTGGAACATTCCAGAATATAAAGCACTTAGGGACTTTCTGAAATATGACTTTTTTCAGGTAATTTTGAACTTTACTTATTTCGCATTTATCTTATAATTTTATTAAATAAAGGCATTAAACATAAATTTTAATTTCAATCTTTACAGACACTATCAGTAATTGGTGGCCTTTTAATGATAGTCTCTTTAGGTCCTGGAGGTGTATCAATGGATGAGCATAAAAAAGAGTGGTAGATATCATGATATCATTTAAATGTACATCATTACATTGTCATGATCATTAACACGTTCCGTGCCGGATCGATTTTTGGGTACTTTCCGTTCAAGCTACGTGGGGCATATACGCCCCACACTATTATGATTAATAGTTTTGCCTCTGACATATGCCTTACAATATTTATAATAGTGAAAAAAATATAATTAGCAAAAGAAGATGTAGTAAAGTTTAAGATGCATTAGACAACAAAGCAATAACTGATGTCTATACATGATGATCCAAAAAGTGAAAAGAATTCTTCGTTTTATAACGAGAATTCAAACGGTCTGAACGAAAAATTCAACGTGGGGCGTATACGCACGAACGTGTTAAGTAAAAGTCTCCCATTCCTGTTCCTTCATGTGCTCAATAAATCTATAATAAGTTTATTGTTTGTTGGACGAAGAGATACAATGTGCATTCATCTTGAATTATTCAATTTGGGTAAAGGAATTGTTAAAATAGAATTTATACAAAATTATAAAAAAATGATAAAACTTCAAAATATTGTTAAGGAACAAACAAAATGAAGATAACACCAAGACCAATTTATATTATCAATAATGGCATTGTACATACAACACTACATTTATCAAGGAAAACAAAATATATTTTTTCTGTGTGTTTTTAATTTTCTCTCTGTTTTTGATTTTAAATCCTAGATGGATTTATATACATGATTTTAAATGTTAAGGTAATCTTCCATAAAAATACATTACTTAAATTTATAGAAGACAATAATGAAAATATTAAATTTTTCAAGATTTTTATACAATTAAATTATTGTAAATAAATATTTCGTATCACATATTCATTGTTACTATTTATTTATATAATTTTTATTCATTAACTGATAATTAGCAACTGCCATATTTAGAGTCACTTAATAATAGATTCACTAAAATAAACTGACCTCAAAATAGTCAGTACGTGAATTTGATCAAACCAGTGAATGAGTATAATCATTAAATATTATATTTTTTAATGAATACTACGTAAAAATTAAATAATATTAAATAAATAATAAATTTCAATAAAAATAAGAACAATGTATAAATATAAGCAACTACCAGTTGATAAGGGTACAACTATTTTAACTGCAAAGCCATTTGCTAATGTCTTACGATCTAAGTATCGTAATGAAAGATGCGACTATTGTTTCCAAAGGTAATTACATTTAAATAAAATTATACTAACTATAAATCTCCTTACATGGTTTTTTCTCTTCAACTGTTTACCACATTTATTTAGTAAATTATTTATCTATTATTGATACCAAACATTATTGTTGTCAATATATTTTTTCAAGTGCTTAATGAATTAGACCGAGACCGGGGATTAATAATGTTTAATCGACTTTAATTATAACTTTCAGGTTATATCATACTAGCGACAATTTTCTATTATTCTTATCTATTATTTTTGCTTATATATTATAAATGTGCATTTATGTTTAAATTCATCTGTGATTTAACTATTTTTCCCACGAACTAAAACTCCCATCGAGTAAAAAATTGAAAGCTTTATTGTATTATATCAATTTGCGGTTTAAAGTAACCTCTCCTTTACAATACGGTTAACCGCCAATATGCCGCCATTCTAAAAGTTAAACCGCGAACTTACATTTCACAATTTCAAATTAATATGTAATAGATTATGAACAAACACGTGCCACGATAATCAAATTACAATTAAATTAGCAATAATATTAAATAATGTGAAATTTTGACGTCTTATTATGCATAATAAGAGGTTGTCTAACTGTCCACAAACAGAGTAACAAAAATAAAAAAAATAATCCGATACTCTATTTAATTTCCTTCTGAAGATTCTACTTTCTTATTCTTAGTGATTATACTGTATACTGTATAGTCTAGAGATTTCTATATTGGCGAGAGTTAATGAAACCAAATATAGATATCTTATTGCATTAGAAAAATGTTCATATATTTTTAATAGATATAGAGATAAAAAGAATAGCAAACCATCTAAATTTCTTTTTATTATAGAATGCAAATTAATTTCTTTTATATAAAATATTTCTACTGTTCTAACGTAAAATTGGAAAAATTATCGAATTGCTATTTTTTATGATCTTGATAATTTTTATATACGTTGTAAACTTTTGTATGGACAAAATTCAATGTATTAGTAGCAATTTTTCTTCTAATATCTCAGAGACTAAAGCGAATTGTCAATCTTTCCAAATAAAAAAGTTATTTAAAATAATTACAATATATTTTAAGACCATCAAAATCAATGAGAAAATAACAGATCGATAATTTTACGCTTGAAATCATATGTATCTCAAGATAAGGAAATTCTTATGAAGAGTCCAAAAATGATTAGAATAAAGAAATAATCTTTTTTTTTTTTTTATAAATATCTTTAAGCAAGTTTGACATTTATTTAGCTTTAAAAATTGCATATTATATATTTGTTTCTGCCAAGTAATCTACCGGTTCTTACAACGAATCAACAAAATTACAATCTCTTTTTTGATATTCGAACACATGAATTATATTACAAGCAAAAATGCACCTTTTCTGTTAAGATACTTTCTTCCTAAAACACATAAGACACTAGTCAACTACGCTAATGTCATTCACTGTCACTTTATCTCACTCTGTTTTATTAAGTTCCTTTCACGTTCTTTATCGCGTTATATATTTGTAAATGTATCATCTTAATCAATAATGACAATGTGTGTGAATAAAGGTGTTGAGATTATACACAACCAATCAAATCAGCTAGCTATATTCTTATCTAGGCATAATATTTCAGTGCAGAGTGAGCACTTGACATTCAATGTTTGTGGTGGTTTATAGTAACGAAAATATTAAGCATTAATAACAAAGCAAATTTATTTTAAACATGAACGAAAATCAAAACTTTATAAAAAAAGGCACTACTGTCTTTGCTACCAAACCATTTGCTTATTGTCTGTCTTCAAAATACAGAACTAGTGTATGTGATTATTGTTTTAAAAGGTATATTGTTAATATTTTTAAAAAAACTGCTTAATATCGGTAATATTTTAATTTCTTTTATTATAACTTAACAGTTAGTTTACTGATTAATAGTATTGTAGTAATAATAATACAAATTTCTATAAACTATAGGAATTATTTTCTTTTCAGTGGTAAGCTTTTAAGATGTTGTGGTTGTCAGTATGTTTATTATTGTAATCAAACTTGTCAGAAAAGATCTTGGCGAATACATGGTAAAGAATGTGCAAATTTAAAAAGAATTTCACCAAAGATTGTACCAGATTTTGTACGCCTCATGGCACGTATAATTATAAAATTAAATCAAGGTGGAAGTGAAGAAATAGAATATTATGATAAAACTAATTTTAGAAGATTTAAAGACTTAATGTCTCGTAAGTTTTTATATCATATAAGAAAATCAAATATCATTTATATATTTTTATTCAATTAATATTTAAATTATCTTGTTAGATTATTCTGATATAAAAAATGACATGAAAAGAGCAGAACATTTTCTATGGGTATGCCATGTTTTATATGAATTTCTAGAAGATATACCTATGCCAAATTGTGTAGAGTTAATGGGTATTTATGGCAGAATTTGTATTAACTCTTTTAATATATATAATTATGAGTTCACTTCTATTGGTGTTGGTATTTATTTGGGAGCTTCTATTTTAGATCATAGTTGCAAACCTAATACTGTAGTAGTGTTTGAGGGAACAACTATTATTGTTAAAACAATAGAAGATCTGCCTTGTTTAGATTGGTCACAGGCAAGTGTTGTAAAATTTTTTTTTTATGACATTAACATCTGTTAATTAATATCTGTTAACGATAGAAAATTGTTTAAAGCACAGTGTTGTAATTATAACTAATCATATATAGATAAGGATATCATACATTGATGTACTTCAGACAACAAGAGACAGACGTTCAGAATTACAAAGTAGATATTATTTTTGGTGTCGTTGTAAAAAATGTGAAGAAGCAGAACCAATGGCAGAAGCAGCAGCGTGTCCAAATAAATTTTGTACATATCCTTGTTCTCCGGATGCAGTTGTGTGTGAAAGTTGTAATACAAAATTTCCAGAGGACTTTAAAAAAATTTTTGATGAAATATCTGATTTTACTGCAGATAATTTGGATAGTATGGTGGATGTTGCCTGTATCCTTTTTATGAATAACATGGGGTAGATATATTAGCTAGATTCAATGTAAAACATAATTTCCTTACAAAAGAAAGTAGATTTAGATGTAAGCAAGGTATGCTTGGCAAAACAGGAAGGTGTTTTACACTCTCTCAACATACAACATTTATTAACTTTACGATGTGCATTTGAATCCTCTATAAGTCTGAAACATTGGGAAGAAGCTGATATATATTCTAAAGAACTTCTTAATGGCTATTTGTAAGAAGAACATTTTTTAAGTGTTAATAAAGAAAATATAATAATTTATTTTCATATTTCAGAACATATTATGGAAAAATCCATCCAGTGACTGGACTACTGATTCTAACAACAGCAGATATTAAATTAAATATGAATGAGTCAAAAGAAGCTATAGAATTGATAAAAAAAGCTTCTGTGATACTAAAAATAACTCATGGAGAACAACATAGTATCATAAAAGAATACTTGAACTATATCATCTAGTTTCTACCATCAAAGACCATCGTGGCAATTAATGTATTTGTGATATTGATAATTTATAATTGTATATAATATACTGACAATGTACAATATACAGTAAATAATTTTAATGTTTAAAAAAGTAAATTTAATGTACAATCCTTAAAAAAAAGAACTATACTTGTAAATTTAAGAATTTGTAAATATAGAATTAAAAAGCACCGCTATCATTAGTGCCAACCTTATAATACTATTATAAATATTTGTGTTATGTAGTAACATATGTAAAAAATAGTAATGATTTTTAAGTTATTTATTACTTTGACCTCTCTGTAATATTTAACGATTCTACAAAGTACAGATATTATAAAAGAAGTGATTAATTACCAACATTACAACAAAAAATAAATACAGCTGCTAAGTGACAGCTGCTTAAGTTTTATTAGATCGGTTATTTGTTACGAATAAATTCTTAATTTTTCATTGAAAATTTGAAATAACATGTGGTAAGCAATTATTTTCGCTTTGGAATTTATTACAAAAGTATCTGGAACAATATTTTTATATTTCTATAATAACTACAATGTACACGATGTATTATGTCTATAATAAACATTAGTTATATCACTTCGTTTATTAATGTGTAATTTCTTTATATTTTCGTTGTTTAGATTCATTATTTGAATAATATTTTTTATTCTGAACCTATTTCTAAATATCAAACATAATTCAATTAAAAAGAATTTCTGTACACATTTTTGTATTGTTTACAGAAATTTACGATTGTTTAGACTATTGTTTCAATCAATATTGTTTTTAATTTAAAGTAATTTATTTCATCATTTGACTTGTTTTATATAAATAATATATAAATAATTTAGTTTGATTTCATTTAAATATACATTATATTGTATTAAATCAATATAAAAATGTTTATCTTCTTTGAATCCATTTCATTCAGATATCTGTTATAAGATTAAGGAAAAATCCTTATCTCAACTATTATCTGTTAAATTAAGAAGAAATATACAATGTTCTCTGCATTTAAAAGATTGGCTGGAAAGTCTGATGGAGTTGGGAATATATCTCCTAGACCAGCTCATCAGTCTATGCCAACAACTTTACAAAGAAAATTTGCTAAAGGTGTACAATATAATAGTAAGTATATTAATTATATTGATTTAAAAAAAAAAAAAAAAATAAAATGCTTCAAATGAACAGAATTATATTTTTAGTGAAAATTATTATAAAAGGTGACAGAAATGTGGGAAAAACTTGTCTATTTCATAGACTTCAAGGCCAAAAATTTATAGAAGAATATATACCAACAGAAGAAATTCAAGTAACCAGTATTCAATGGAATTATAAAGCTACCGATGATATTGTTAAAGTTGAAGTTTGGGATGTTGTAGATAAAGGTCGACGTAGGAAAAAATTAGAAGGTTTAAAAATGGACAATTCACAGCCTGAAAATATTATTGAGGAGCCTGCTTTAGACGCAGAATTTCTTGATGTTTATAAAGGGACCAATGGTGTTATCATTATGATGGATATTACAAAGTCTTGGACATTTGATTATGTACAAAGAGAACTTCCAAAAATTCCTAGCCATATCCCAGTAATTGTTTTAGGAAATCATTGTGACATGGCACATCATAGAACTGTCACATCAGATCATGTAACATACTTTATTGATTCGTTGCATGAAAGGACAGCTCAAGTAAATTTATTGCTATTATTATTTATAAATGATTAGAAAAACATGTTTATAACATTTTATTTTTTTTCTTATTTATGATAGGTGAGGTATGCAGAATCATCTATGAGAAATGGATTTGGATTAAAACTTTTACATAAATTCTTTAATCTGCCTTTCCTTCAACTGCAACGAGAAACATTATTAAAGCAACTTGATACCAATGAGGAAGAGACACGTTTAACAATACAAGAACTTGATCTCTTTCAAGATAGTGATGATGCAAATTATAATAAATTCTTGGATAATCTTGTTAACAGAAGAAGAGCACTTGCTGATTCTGTTTCTGCCAGTATTCTAGTCCCTAATATTACATCTTCTTTAAGCAATCATAATATATTATCTTCAAATGGTAATACAAACGTAAATGCTGAAGTTAGAAGATCAATTTCTATGCCTGGCCCTATAGGAGGAGGAATTCCAATTCCAGTAAAAAATATAGATTTGAAATCACTACCAAAGAAGGAAAATTTTATAAATACTTCTGAAAATCAAGTAATCCCTATTAAAAATTCACAAGTTACATCAACAACATCATCTACACAAAATGTTTCAAAAACTGATTCTAAAATGGCTGAATTTTTAAGTGAAAATTCTGATAGACGAGATTCAATTAGCAAACCACAGTCACTTATGTCAAAGATATTTGGTAATAAAAAAGAGGATGAAATAGACAGAGTAATACATATTAATAATACAAATACGAATATGCCATTAACTAGTGTTGAAGATTTTATACCAGATGATGGATTGTTAGATAGATCATTCTTAGAGGACAATAGTCAAGTTTCACCACAAAAAGTACAGCATGAGGAGCTCAATTCTGAAAGGTGTGTTAAAGCTATAGATAAATAAAGAAAAAACATGAAATTTTATTTCTTTCTAATCTTTTGATATCTTTTGCATTTTTGATAGTGATACTGAAACTGCAAATCCTTTGGTTGCTGGTTATGAAGATGATTTATCATCAGCTGATGAAGCAACGCCTCCCATTCAACCTAAATTGGCTGAGAATCCATTAAGTAAACAAAAACACAAACGCGAAACTATATCAAATACGGAAATAAATTCAGAAAAATTGCGGCAAATCGCGAAACGTGATTCTATTTCATCTATAGATCAAGAATTACAAATATCAAATAATTATGACATAAATGAACAACAAGAAATTAATTCAGATGCATTTGATAGTTGGCTTCGGCGTGATTCTAAATGGAGACAAAGTCCAGAAGGTGGTGAGGATGTAAGCAGTAATAGCACCAGAAAAGACAGATTGGAATTAAGTGATAAAAGTTTAGATGTTAGTGTAACAAGTTCTAATGTACATTTAGAGTTACTTGATAATACCAGCGTGCGTCACATGAGTTCCGATGGTGGTAGTCCTGTATTAAAAGAAAAGAAAAAGCATAAAGAGAAGGTATGTGTCAGATAATAAAGCACTGTATTTATAATATAATTCGTTGTGTAGAAATATTACTTTAAAATTAAAATGCTTTTAGACTGAAGACAAAGAAAAGAAGAAAAAGAAAAAGTCTAAAGATAAAGAAAAGGATAAAGAAAAAACAGATAAAGCAGAAAAAAAGAAGAAACGATCGTTGCATCGTTCAAGAGATGAAAATAGAGAACGTGATGAACTTGAAGAATTTCTCAATGGTTCTGCAACTAGAATCGGTGTTGATGTTGCCTATGAAGCGATATAACATTTTTCTTAAATAACATTCAATCATATTTTTAATTAGTAACGCTGTCTTCTGGCAACACGCATAAAGCATCATGTAATATTGAATTTTCAGATATGACTTTCATATTAATGTTTGCAAATAACTTTAAAGCAAATAATACATGTATAAAGATCCTGTTACAATTCTTTTTATGATAAAATAATGTTATAAACAACAACAAAGAATTTCTAACAATCATTTTTAATTTTGAACATTCAATAAATGACACTTAATCAATTAGCCATTCCATAAACATCTGATACAAGTATGAATATACTTTTGTAAATTTAAATGCAATCTTATCATTGAAATGATTGACATTTACATATTTAATTTATTTATTCGCATATTGAAGTTATTTATTTTATTAAATAAAATCTGTATCAATAAAATATTTCTCAAAATATTAAGAAATAATGTGGATATAATGTGTTATCTGCTTTTTCGTCGACTATCTTCTTTTAAAATGAAAAAAGGTACATTTAATTAATGTAATAATTTTATCATTACTATTAATTTTTAATCATATATATTATAGCGCAATATGTCATCACTGCAGTTTCATGTTAATAAATGTACATAAATAAATAAGAAATTGTCATATAAAATTACAATTCTTTTCTTATTTGAAATGTTTTTGAACGTGTTGTTGTATACGAGTTTCAAATTTGCTACAGAGCATGAACGCCCTCTTTTAAATTTAAAATACATCTGTTGGTTCTTACCGTACTGTTATCGAACATGTGTGAATTTGACGGAGACTGTGTATAATATGATACTAAGTGCATGCCGAGAGTTGTATTTTATATTACATTACTTAATTAATTAAAAGATATTGAAAACAAATCAGTGAAACAAACGATTTAGGAAAATGTCATTTTATTTGCGTTCACTTCCAAATAAATTTACATCTTTTGTTAATATACGTAGCAGACAGGTTACTGACATCAACTATCAATTACCAAAAAATGTTAAATCCTCTTTATTTTTAGAAGAAGTAAGTACTTTAAATTTTATTATAATAATTATTAATCATTTACATTTACATGATATTTTTGACGACTGTCAATTAAAGTTTCCGTTTTCTAAATTCATTATTTTACAGAATAAGTTAACCTCAGTATATTTATGTAATAATGATTTAATCGTAATAATTTGTTGATGTTTTACAATTCCTATATAAGTTTTAATAGTAATTAAGTTATTTAATGTTTCTTGCTTTTTATTTTTATTTTTGTATGTTAAAATATTGCAAATTTTTGGAAGTTAAAGAATTTTGTATCGTTCCCAGCAAGTAAGAAAATTTGATTGGTAGAAATATTATATTGAATCTTTTGATATATATTTAAAAAGTATGGAAATATATATATCCATACTGTTAAAATTTGTAATTAGTTATAAATTACAAAAATGTTGGTTTTATATATATATATAAAAATATATATATATGTTATATGTATTTTCCTTGTATGAATTTATTATTTCATCATTTTTAAAAATAAATTAAAAGTTATTTATATAAAATAAATTAAAATATAACTGTTAATTATAGTTTTTAGATATACAAACATCAACAAGCGCAATAATAAATAAGAAAGAAACACCTTTGAATTTATTAGTTCCTTCATTAAGTCAAAATGTACCAGTTACTTTTGTCAGTATTAATAATGAAAATCTTAAAGCTCTAAACAAGAAATGCAATTGGAATAAACAATGGATGATCAAATTATATCAACAAAGACAAATACATAATCAGAATATAAGACATGATGTCAATTTCGATGTAGCAAGCACAACATTATTAAGAAATAATGCACAGTACGAAAAATCATTTGTAAAATTAAAAAACAAAATACCTAATTTATCGTGTATAGAGATGACACCAGTTAAAGAGACATTTTATAATGTATTATCTAAATCTACAAAGAATGAAATTCTTTACAAAAAAGTTTATCCTAATATGCAGAATAAAAGTGAGATGCAAACTTCTGAAAATCATAAATCATTTAAAACACAACTGCAAAATGTATATGATATTCTTCGTGAAGATGTATGTTGCTTTATTATACAAAAAATTGTTATGAAGTACATAAAACTTAAAATCTTATTTTACTAATATGTATTTCTTTCAGTTACCATTACTGTTTACTCGATCATTGAATAGTAAAATTTATACAGAAGATTTAATATTTGTGAATAACATTAGAGGAACAACAACTGTGTAAGTATATAATTTAGAATATTTTTATTACCGATAAATTAATGTTATTAAAGAAAAATAATACATATATTTGCGAATGTTTTACAGTGGAATTCATCAATACTTTAAGCAAATATCATTATTAAGATTAATAGGCCATATCAAGTTTGCTTATGTTAAGTTGGGTATTATAAAAATGAGTATACACCCTGAAGATAGTAGCATTAAAGTTCGTTGGCGTATAGCAGGCATTTCTGGTACAAGGGTAATTTTCACATTTTGGAGATATAAAATCTGGAATACTAAAAGTGAATTAGATTCTGCACCAGCGTAAGTAAATTCATATATTTCTTTACTTAATATATTATTGCTTGTATTGTATTATATTAATCAATAAAATTTATTAATAGGTGGTATGATGGCTTTTCTACATTTTATGTTAATAATGATGGCAAAATATTTAAGCATGTCGTCGATAAAACGATGCCTGAGCAAGATCAAAGGAAAATTAAAGCACCCATTGAAACAAAACTGGCATTATTTATTAACTTGTTACACGTAGACTCCGATTTTTAGAAAATATCTTTTGCATTACTACGAATAAAATGAATTTGTTAATACTTTTTTAATTATTGCATTATGTAAAAAACGAAAACAATAAACAATGAAGCTACACCATGTTTTAATATATTGTTTAAATTTATATAATTGTAAAAAATTACTTAAAATTTACAAAATTTCTATAGATATTATGTTTCTAAATTTATATTTGTATATTTGTTATACTTTAGAAGTTTATTTACACTGTAATTGAATCAATCTATTGTTCATTATTATTCACTTATTTATTTATTTATTTATTTACTACTACTGTAAATTATTGTTTATGATTTCAAATGAATAATTGATGGAATAAAATTTTTATTTGTGTTAAAGTAGACACGTATTTAATACATATATTTATTTAGATAATGTACAATGTATACTATGAAAAGCATAGTTGATTCGAACAATATAGTGTGCTTATATAATTAATGAAATCTAAAAGTACAAATATTCTGATTAGTAGTAATAGTAATAAATTAATTTGTAATTTTAAATATTTAGAAAAAAATTGTGCACTCAAGAATTTGAACTGTATAAAGCAATTTGAATGAATTCTGCCATTGTAAGGAATTGTTGAAGATGTTTTACAAAAAATGATTTAAAAAAAATTCAAATTCTATTACGCGTTCTTTTTCGTTTTATCAATGAAGTTCTTTTTTGCATATCATTAAATATCTATAGCTATAAATCGTAAATAATTCTAAGTGTCAGTGACTTTAATTATGTCATATCAATATAAATTGAAAACATCATTTAATACAATAATTTAAAAATGCGTTATATTGTCGAATTAACTATACCTCATATAAAATATATATTTTCTGCTTTATTTCTTTCTTTTCTTTACTTTTATGTTTTACATAAAAATGTTGTTATTTCGTAAAAATAAGAAGTACTTTATTTAACATGTAAAACTTACATTAAAATAGATAATGTATCAATTCCATTCAGTTACATACAAGTCCTATAAAGAAAAACATATATTTAAAAAATTATAATAGAAATAATCACTAGATTGATGAAGTAAATATTTACCTAAATAATCGTCCATCAATGTTCCAATAGCAAACTAAAAATATATTGCATGAATATTATAATGTATAACATAAAATATTAGAATAAAATACTATATGCTATAAGTACTAACAATTCCTGTAGCATCAACTCTTGTGCCAACAATTTTTAACCTTATTTCATCGTCTGGTTGAATAATTACATCCTGTAATATTACAATATTTACATCCTTATAATTTGCAGTTCATATTCTATATATCATTTTTATTATACATTTTTTTTATATGTACCTCCTCTTTAGATTTGTAGCATGGTGGATTTATATTTGGACAAAACTGCATGTCTGCTGGAATTGACTTCAAAAAAATATTTAATACCTTGTAAAATAGTATTTTAGTAATTTATAAAATACAATTGTAAGATTACAACTCGTATAAAAATAACTTACATGGTGAGATATAAAACATGAAAGTGGTCCTATTTCAGCAAACATTCCAACCTAATAATAAGCAAAAAATATATAATTTTTTAAATTATACTATTATAAAGATTTAAAACTACTTTTTATATTTACCTTATTTACTTGTGTTACTATAGCATCTAATACTTCTCCTTTAAATGGTCTAAACACAATTGCTTTATATTTAACTGGATATACCACAAAACCTTGTCCAGGCAATATAATCCCTGCACCTATGTTATCTATTGTTGTAACAGCAACAACAAATCCATATCTGATATAACCAAAAATGTTATTTTTTAAAATATGTAATTATTTAAATAAATGTGCTACTTCTATTATGTTCACTAACTTACTTTCCTGTACAAGTTCCTTCTACTTCAATATATAGTTTTTGTTTCACAGTATCTAATAATTGAGGCCCAAAATATCTAGGATGCAACAAAACTTCATGTTCTAATGATATCTATAAAGATATAAAATTAAAGTATATATACTTTATTTTATTAGATATATATATTTCAACGCACATTTTACCACTATCATTTATTCAATATTTATCATTACACATATTTTGTTCTTTAGTATTTTAAGTTAAAATGACTTACATGATAAAACATGTCTTATTTCAGTAATATCAAGTAATATGTAATTAACTTATTCAGTAATATTTTCGCGTATACGTTCACTTATTTAGGTTATATTATGGAACTGAATAAATGTCATCTTCTTATAATTTTTTACTTAGTAATTTACTCAAAAGTTTATAGATATTAAAAAGCGACGTTTATTTTTTTATTTTGCGAAACTATTTATTCAACTTATAGTAACAGAAGAAAATAATGATCACAAAGAAAGAGTCATCAGTTAATAGAGATACGTGCACCTTTTGTTATACGTATATGCAGTATTGTTACAAATTATGTATGTTGATTAAACACGATAAAAGCACTTTTATTGATATTTATATTCTTCAATCTATGATGTTTAATCTGAATAACAAATATTAATTAGATAAAGCATAATATTGATATTTAATGCAGAAAATAACTTATTATAAATTATCTTATAAATGTTATTTTTAAGGAAGCAAAATCTTTAATATATAATATTGTATTAATTTAATATCTATTGTTCACTTAATAAGCTATTAAACTAATTTATAATTTACAACAAAGTAAAGTTATTAATTATCATCATCTACAAAATTTAATTTTCGTTTAATTTCTAAGGCTAATTTATATCCAAGTTCTGGTCGACGATCTTTTCCTTCAACCATTGCATTTACTTGACTTGAATTTACAATTACTCCATTATTAGCTATAACAGTAGCTTTAGTCTTTTCAATATCAACAAGATCTACTCCTCGACTACAATCATCAATGAGAATAGTTCGATAACCATTTGTAAGTGCATCTACTGCAGTAGCTCCAACGCAAACATCATAAGCTAACCCGCAGATATATATATCTGTCGCGCCTTTCTCTTGTAATTGCGAGGACAAACTTGTTTCCATTAATTTTTTATTATCCCAAAAAACAGAATATGAGTCTACTTCTGGATTAGTTCCTTTATATATCTTAATTGCATTGTTTACAATTTTTAAATCTTTATGAAGTTCAGCACCCCAGGAATCTTGTATGCAATGACGAGGCCAAAGACGTTGCTTTAGCAATGGCGGACCTCTAAACGTTATAGTGTCGTAAACTTGTGCGGCTTCTTTGGAGATTCCGCTACTAGAATCAACTTCCCTGAGAAAATAAAGCAATTAATTTATAAATTTTGTTATAAAAATGTATTTGTATTAAATGATATTGAATTGAAATTTAAACAAAATTAATTAATCATAATTAATCTAGATTAATTACCTAAGATGTAAATTATCAATAAAGGATACATGATTCATGGGATGCCAATCAAGAGAATAGAATACAGCATCAAATTGTACAGTTTCCAATAAACGATTAATTGGTTCAATTACTTCTGAACCATCATGCTGAGCAGCACATTGTTTGATATTTAAGGAACCTGTTATGAAATCATTCTGCACATCCACAATTAAAAAAGCACTCTTTGGACGTGTGCATATTTTAATCCAACGATTCCAACAAATCTATGGATTCAGAATAGAATCATATTTAAAGATGATTATGATCATTATGACGTTTATAATAATTATTTGAACAACATAATATTTACAGATATGTAAATACCTCAAATTCCTCTCTATCAATTTTTCCATCTCCATTTAAGTCAAATATAGAATATATTTCCCTCAACTGGCTTTCTTCAATGTTGTAAACTTTTCCACGATCGTTGCGAAATAACGCACGACAAATGAATTCAAATTCTGTGATAGATAAATATCCATCTCCATTTTTATCAAATGCAGTAAAACATGCATCCATGTTTCTTTACTGTAATTTCTTGTTTCTAAGTTATTTGTTTAATCAATACTTGTATTAATGAAGTACAATCATATTATATATTACTTTCTGAAATCTGTTTAAAAATGTAAAATTATGTGATAAAATACTATGACATATTATTTTATAATGTACTTTTCTCTTTAATTGCTTTAAAATAATTTATTTTCACGTTTGCATTTTGTATATGCTGTAATAGTATTTCCAATAAAAAATATTATTATCTGTAACATAATACTTCATGATTTGGTATAGAAAATTAGAATAAATAGAATACAAAATTTTTTTTATTACTATATATCTTTCATTAGAAATTTACAATAAGTATACAATTCTTTTTATTTCTGTTTTTTTATTTATTAAATTATATGCAAATGTATAATTATTAAAATAAAGTATTATTGTATTAATCTTCGATGGTAATCTATTGATACATCAAACATCACCTCAGGTTCCAACAATTCATTTACTTTATATTTCATAGACTCTTCATATGCATATGTAACAGATGTATCTGTAAGTTGGATATTACATTGTGCTAAGATTAAAATACAATTGTGTAATCGTGCACAAACTTCACGATTTGCTTGTGGAATTCTTGATGAATCTTGTGTAAAACCACCTTCTGATCTATCAGTATCTTGCCTACTAGTTCCAATCCAAATATAACCATTATTTCCTAATATTAAATTTGCACCATTTTCCAAATTATGGAAATGAGTCTTCTTTCTTTTTATAAGAGCTGGAGATACTTTCAACATTATACCTTGAGACAATTTACCATACTTTAAAACTCTAGTATGTAATGAAAGAGAACCATCGACAAAAGTACTTTGAACTTCTGCACAAATTAAATCTCCTTCTTGAAGATAGCGTCTCATAGTTTGTTCATCTTCTGCTGATCTCCTCCTCTATAAATTACATACAAGAATGGATTATTTTAAAAAGTATACTCATTTCATTAGTATACGAAAAGGGAATTTTATATCATACCAATTCTCCACCTGGTAAATTAACACTGGAAAGTAGCAATACAGAGTCAAGTTTGGAATTTGTATCAACCTTCCATCGTCTCTGTTGCACTTCAGTTATACGACCAACAACTACATCTCCTATTTCGCCTTGATAACGCGCTTTCAACGGTCTTATTGAAATAAGTTTATTTACTTTTTCTAAAACACCAGCTACGGATGCGCGTAATGTATTTTCATCATCTACATATGTTCCATGTCCTCTAATAAAATTGTACGATAATGAATTTCTTTCTCTTTTCTTCGATATTTCCTTTTTAAAGAAATAAAATACATGTTTTTACCTTAAGAAATCCGGTTGACTAGAAATTTCTTCTCCCGGTGTATATATTCGGGGTTGTGTGTCATTATTTTTTATTAAATTTAAATTAACTCTATTTACTGCTAAACGTACATTAATAGGTGGATATTCTTCCATCATATATAGCAATTGTTGTTATGCTGTACATACACAATAATTAATACTTGTACAAATATATCGTCTCTTATTTAAATTAGGATGTGTACATACGATCACATTTAAGGTTATATTTAACCTTTATGTGCGTAAAGTATGGCGTGAAGTATAAAGCATAATATCGTAAGAGTTACTAAATAGTAATCCTAGTCCCTTATAAGTAAGTTAGTTTATAATTGTATATGTGAAAGTAACGATATATAACTGTTGAATTTTAAATTAATTGAAATTTGTTATGTTTAAACAGTAAAAGATAATATATGTATGCTTAATAAAATTCTAATTTCGTGAGTAGCTGGTAAATAATACATATAAATAGTATACTGAATATATTTGTATTTTACTTTTGAAGAGATTAAATCTATAATATTATAATAATTATACTTTCAGTATTTCATAATGGAAGATTTTATTCCTACACGAGTATCAAAGGTAAAAGAAAATGCTGTAAAGGAATTTGTATCAGTGAATTATCAAAAGCCAAAGAAAAAGAAAAGAGAAATTATTGAAAGCGAAGAAAACAGTGATATACGAAATTTTAAATTCAATATAACAAAGGATAGACGAAATTGCAATAACGATGACAAAAAGAAACAGGAAGCAGAAATGAAACGTGTTAGATACGAAGTTATGAAATTTGGTATGTCTGGTTTTAAAGGGGAAAAAGCAGGGGAAGCAGAAGTTGAATTTGCTATTAATTTAGGAGCAAAACCTCCAAGAAAAAAAGGTATTAATTATAAAATTTTGAAGCATAAAAAGAAAGAAGGTTACAAGGAAACACAGGAGAAGAACACAAAACTTATGTCAGGTTCCAAAAACAGTTTAACTAAACATAAAACTAAAAAGACCCGTAAAAAAGGTTCTGATGGTCTATTAGGAATTTATGGAAAAATAAATAAAACAACACTAGGTAAAAATAAAAAATAAAATTGTAACCATAAACATTTAAAATATTTTTAGTCGTTTTGTTCAGTAGTTACAACATTAACATATTGTCTAACAGTAATGTGTTTTATGTATTGTATATCATATATGAATAACAAGTAATAAAATAATATTTTTATATATTTGTGAATTCATTTGGGCCAGCCTTGAGCTTCAATAAGAGGATACATATCTTTATCTATTCATATTTAAAATAGATATTCATATTATATTCACTATGCCACAATGGAATGATTTGGCATTTAAAGAATCATGCTTTTTTAGCTGATCAAGATTAATCGAAGGCTGCAGCCGTTGGTGCAACCTCAAGTAACATTTGAAGGAAAGCATTCACTCCTTCTGTAGAGAAAATAATTATTAACCTTAGGTACTTAATTTTTTGTTGATGATTTTGTAATTTTTCTGCATATTACAAATTATGTTGAATGAACATACTTACCCATAAATTTGGGCACATATCCGTATTTAACAAACGGGAGGTAGACAAGCATGCCCGCTAAAATGAACCCAGCCGCATATAAATACTCGATTTGAGGTTTATCAATGATCGGTGCTACAATCAGGTACGCAGAAATTCCAAGTACGAAAACAGGTATTATCAACGGACATTTATATGGTCGTGGATGATTCGGTCTGGTCCTTCGCATCACCAATAGAGCTAACATTGCTCCGCCGTAAAATATCCAAGCAGTGAACGAAAAAAAATCGATCAAGGAATCAATATTTCCGGATAGTACCATTGCTCCTAGTGGGGGAGGAAATAAATACATTATATTATTATATTAAGGTATAATGGAAATTGAAGATAGTGTAAACGATACCTGCAACGAGCGAGTGAAAGATAAGTCCCGGTGCAGGAGTAAAACGTCGTACATGTACGTAACTGAGGCAATCAAGTAAATGGCCTTCTCGGGACGCAGCGAAACAGAGTCTACCTGCTGCAAATAGGGTACCATTTGCGGAACCAAACGTGCTGATTGCAACCGAAAGCGGCATAAGCCATGACATAACACCCAGAATCCGATTTCCGAAAGTCTGCAAATCGATAATTGATATCCTTTTTAGATTTAAGGTTTAGAAACCTTAATAATAAATTCGAATTTCGTTAAAATAACAAAATTCGTTAAAATAACGAATTTCTGTTTTAATTCTTGATTTCTGAAAGAAAGAAGGATATTAAAAATTGTCTTACTACTGCAACAGCTTCGCTTTCGATCATCTCCGAAGGTGACATCACGGCTAGGTAGGAAACGTTTATTAATGCGTAACATAGGGTGACAAGGGGTATACCAATCATAATGGAACGTGGCAGATTTTTCGAAGGATCTTTGATTTCTTCAGTGACATAATTGAGATTATTCCATCCATCGTATGCCCATAAACCAGTATAAAAAGCTGTAGCTAATCTGCCTACATTAACAGTACCACCATCCATCGTATTGAAAGCGCCTTTGAGATGTTGCGTATTACCCTGTATCAACTTATAAGAGCCACCGGCAATTACAACAAGTATGGCGATCAATTTTGCTGCGGTAAACGCGTTTTGTACACCTGTGGCCAGATTAACGCTGTAACAGTTTACTAACAGTATAAGTATAATTGCCAGGAGCGCAACGATTTTGACGACTTCCTCGGGTGGATCGCAGTCGGCTGCAAAGGCCTCAACCGCGTACTGCGCGAACGACAAACAGATTATTGCCATTTGAGACGGTTTTAAAACCAACGTGGAAACCCACGAGAAGAGGAAAGCAGGTGGTGCACCGAATGCGTCCATAAAGTAAGCGTACTCAGCGCCGCTGCTCGTATTCATCGTACCCAGTTCGGCGTATGCTAACGCACCGCATAGACTCAACAAGCCGCAGGCCGTCCATACGAGGAAGCTGATTCCGATACTGCCGGTTCGAACCAAAAGCCCTGACGGCGAAACGAATATCCCAGAACCTATCATTTCGTGATTGAACGAATAAGAAGAAGAAGAAGAAGAAGAATTTGAAACTGTACTCTTTTCAGTTAACCATATAAGATTTTACTGAAACGGTATAGATTGCTACCTATCATGGTACCAACGATTAGAGCCACCCCACTGACGAGTCCCACCCGTCTCTTGAGGTGAACAGAGTTGTTCTCCTCTGGGTCCGTCCCCTCCAACCCTCCACCCCCTCCACCCCCGTCTTCATCATCTCCCAGATTCCCAGATTTAACTCCTTTCTGTTTCCGTTCGTGTAGCTGTTGTTGTTCTTGTTGCTGGGATGGCGTCGTAATTGGGTTCCAGCCGTTGCTTCTGATCGATCGAGAAACCAATGTTGTTTCAGGAATTCCATTCCATCCACCGCTTTGTAACTGCTGTTGCGATTGATTGCCGTTACTCGTTTGTGGATCATGTCCCACGGTAGCTGAAATCATTCAAATTCTTTAATAAATCTACCGCATCTTTATATTCGATAGATTAATCAATTGATTAATGAAACATCGCGCGATTATTTCATATTTCTACATCGTCTTACGAATATGTCGTTTATCGTATTAGAAATTTTTCACAGCAATGAATCGTACGATTACCTTCATACATAATTCATCAGGCTTTATTATCGACAATTTCAACCAGGTCGTCCACTACTTGCAAATAGTACAAGTTTCGCGAAAAAATACGAATTCAAAATTATCTCTGGTTAATATAGAATTTCTTACGTATCTGCACGAGCAGTCTCCTTCCGGGAGCGAAAAATAACACGCGAACGAAAAGGTAGGTTTGCTGTAAAACTTCACTTCAGCGTATAAACGTATAAAAGACGTATCGTTAAGATCATCATAAAACGATTAATACCACGATCATTTGAAATTTAATACTATCGCACTGTTTTTCCTTTTTGCGTCTAAACTACGATATTGGTATACTACGAAGAACCACGACGATCTAAAAAGCGACAAATCGTTGGATTTGTATTTATGTCGCCACGTGACGTACATTATTATATTATTATAACCGAGGCGTTGTTGCTACCGTAATAGTTCGCATGGCTGAATGCCAAAGATCTCTCGTGACTGAGATCGGTTTGCTTTCTTTACACGTTTTAACGTACAATGGGCCGCAAAATGCAAACACGCTTGTCGGAATCTGGACGCAATTATTTCCTTCACTGATATTGGACATATCGGTAATGCAATCGAAACAAACAATACCCAGTTTCTTAATCATCTTTTCAATTGATTGGTCGATATCAATCTTTTATGCTATGCCGGCCTATCGTGTGTATACTGAAAATGGAAACTATCAATAATAACGACGATATTGAATACGAACTGCTGGTAGATCTTTATGGAAATAGAGAAGTCTGAAACATTTACTTCGATTAATCGTTGAACTCGTGATATAGATAGACATTCTTTCAATTACGAATTCAGCTCCGATGTGACCAAACCGCGCACTACGCAAGACGTCCGTAGCTTTATTCTGAAGGTGACCTTTCGATAAATTGTCCATTTCTTTATTAACGCATCTATGTTAACCGTTTATCACAGCATCAGTTTTAAATATCGCTCAAGTTTCCCCCCTAACGTGAACTATCTAAAACCTGTAGGCGCATCCTTTTGCATATCAGAAATCTATCTATGTAATATCTCGAATATTTTATTTGCTTTCTCGATAAATTCAATTTCATTAATTAAACTTTACGAAGTGTAAAAAGGAAGAAAACAGCGAATCATTTCCACTTTCGTTTCATTTGCATTTTTTTTATTTCTATAAAGAATAAAGTGCTTCGAAATATCTTGGTAATGGAGAAATTTGTAAAATATGCTGACCGTTTATGTTGCTAAGTAGCAGCATATCATTTAACCACGTACGCGCATGGTTCTTTTAATATAACTGAGCATTGAGTTTAAAAGACTGCCACTGTTTGACGAAATAAGGATCGACAGTGGGAAATGTAGTTAAAATCTGCCGATGTTCAAGTGGTAATGGATGTCTCTGAAGATTTGTGGCTGAACTATGTGGGTTTAGTTGTCAATCTACAGTAAAATGATGCAATATGACTGAAGAAACGCGCGCGCGCGAGACAGGTGGCGTTATTCTTCTGCAAACACTACGTAAAAATGTAAAAGGAAGAAGAGAATAAAAGGAGTAGAAATAGAAGTACAAGATTATTGCGTCATTTTTAATTACGTGAGAATTGCTGGTTCTGTTCTACGTGGGTAGTAATGTAAACTCGTTTAATAATAATCACTTTTATATGTCGCATTTTTCTAAATTCTAACGTCACTTTCAAACGGTATTGTAATTGCCTTGTAAAATGGTAAACAAGTTTAATAATTTTACACGGCTCGAGCAATTAGCAATTGGACATGACATTTGTTCGATGACGAATTACGAATCAGCATGTAAATTTGTCGAATTGGTAACGCGATATGCTAACACGGCGTTTGCAGCGTATAATGTATAATGCCTGCCAGTGGTCGTTCTACCGTTTGGCATGAAATGAACACACTATCCTATGCATACGTTATTTCTAACAAAAGAGGCTCTTCTTTATGAATTTCATTTATATTTCATTTTCGTTTCATTTTATTGTCTATATCAAGATTTTCATCACCATCGCAATTTATATGCTACGTATGCTTCTAAACCGTGTTAATGTCTATTGTGATAAACTGTCGTAATGATGCAATTGCGTTTAATTGATCGTTCGTGCGAAAGAAACCGATCTCCGTGCGAGGTCTTATATGAAAGATGATTTTGTCTATGACGAAGGTCGAATTGGTTGTAAAGTGAGCATAAAAATACGATGAAAAAAGAAGAAGAAAAAGAGATGAAATAAAATATGTTGTAATTCATTTGGAATGTATTTTGAGCCGTTCAATAATAGTAGCAAAATTCATGGAATCGACGATTCTTCTTATTCGTAGTAATCTATTCGACGAAGCACGCAGAATGAAATTTAAGTCATTTGTCAACGCATATGTTTCTAATCAATTCAAATCGGGTTCAAAATTATACCAACATACAGAGATATTCGCGTGTTCTTAGTATATTCGAAATTAAATATTTGCTAATTTAGTTCTGTTACGTAAATCATGGCGGAGAATTTACTCTCAACGTTAAACTGTAAAATTGTTCATGTAAAGCTGTGATTTACAGTCACATGACATTGGTCAGTGGTTTTCGTTTCACTCTATCGATCGTTGTATTTATCACTGTATCGTTGGTATTCATACCACCGAGATAGGAAGACAGTTCCTAACTATTTTACTTGACATCAAAATTTCGATTTCAAGAAGAACAATTTGTGTAAAGAACAAGACGTTTTTCGAAGATTTTAGTTTGAGGTTTAGCTATTTAACATAACGCGTCTCGCGTGTAACGTGTTTGTTTCTTAGAAGATTGGAAACGAGGTTTTAATAACCGTACCATTCAAAGCAAGATTTCACGATAAAATCAACGCAGCTTCAAACACGTACCGCCTAACCTAGATAGTAACTGAACACCACGGAGAAGAAGACCAAGACGCGTTGGTTTGCATAGAAAGTATAATTGGCTTAAACGGAGTACGTCGTAGAGTACTTATCGCTGTCTATTCGTTTGTTCGTTCAGCAGTTCGTCGAGAAGTTGTTCATCTATTTGTAGCCACATCGCACGCGGTACATATTCATCGTGAAATGTTAAAAATAAGCTTTGAACTCGTATACGTGAAAGAGATATTAAGATCGATATCAAACTTGGGATTTAATAATGCTTGATCTTTCTTGAAAATTTACATTTTCGGTTTGCATAACGGAAAATTATAAACGAATTTAACCGTCTTATTTAATGCAAAGAAAGTACGATAGGTAAGGCTGATGAACGATAAATTTCATTCTGCAACGAAAACGAAAAACCACTTGCGCAAAGTGTCTTAAAATACACCTATGGGTTAGATTTAACGTCGAGGCAGACCTGGAAATTTGATTCCGATACTGTAAAATAAAATAAAATTTTTTAAAATAGATGTATATAAATGGAATATTAACAAGTATTCTTTAGTTAATTTCATATCGCTATCAATAATAGCTTAAACAGGAAACATAGACATTCTTGGGGTCCCGTACAAATTTTTCGTACACTGCATATATCTAAATACCTCGTTTCACGTAATGGTGCAATTCTTCGTGGATTTCAACTGTTGCGTTTTCTAGATATATACCGATACTTTACTTTTCTCATTTTCACTGTATCATGTTGAGACAGTGCTCTAAGTCGTTTATGCAAGTTATGAACAATTATAGATAATTAAAGAAATAAAGATCAAAATAAAATGTTTCTTAAATAGTATATTTTTCTGGCAGTGCAAATGATTAAATTTTCATTTAATTCCTGCTATTTTCTCAATTCAAATATAACCAACTGTACAATGTATAAATTGTACATCACGACATACACGTGCTTTCGTGTCCTATAACTAATGCAAGTGTGCAACAACAGGTTCTATTTCAACGACGAATTGTGTATCTTTTAAAGCAAGATTTCAAGACATCTTTACACAATACTGATCATGTTGGTTTATATAATTTGTTTAAGTAATTTGTGATCATATCACGACACTTGTAAGGAATTTCCCTTTATTTAAGTTATCAATGATAAATTCTATTGTTTCTCGATAAAAAGCCACGTTGTATTATAAATGTGTTTATTCTTTATTATTTATTCATTTCTACGAAATTATTAAATTTTGAAATTATACAAAAATTACGTACAATCCTTAATCCACTGGTTTGTATAATTTAACAGCATTAATGAAAAAACTTTTCCAACAATGGAAGTTGCGTTTATGAATGAGTAACCCGATGTGAGAAAAAAGCGCGCGAATTTTACCAATTACGAATAAGAATTTTTTTTGTAAAAAAAATGGACATTACGACGTGACAAAAAATAGTAATGATAAATAAAACAAAATGTTTACCTCGTTTGAAGGGCGCGACATGCATGACTCTAAGAGGGACCGATAAGAAGGGCGGATTGTGAGACCGCCTCTCATGACACCACGCCGACTTTTCGGTGCAACCACTGTCTCTGCCGTATACAGCTGTCTTCGGCCCGCCGTCTGCTTCTTTTCTTCGCTAAATTCGCTTGTAAATTTCTAGTTCACGTTCTAACGGGCGACTTTTACGTACGCCCCGTTTTTCCGTTTCTAATTTCGAACGATGACTTTATTGCGTTTATTCAACCGCTGGGGTTTTTTTGTTTTCAAATTCAGATCTTTTTGTTCACGGCAATTTGAGTTAACGCAAATGTACGTATACCTTCTATGTGATTATGATATTCCAACACGACTCGCACTGATCCACCTCTAACGATGAACTGGGTGTTCGACAGAGGGAGACGTACCCGCCAAAGAACGAACAGGAACGAGGTCGAGAAGGGGAAATTGGAAGTGCGACAGGGAAAGGAAGATAGTAGCACGAGCGCCTAGCGTCGGCGCGCAAATTCGCTCGATATCGTTTTTCCGTCTTTCAACTTCTATTAGATATCTATGAATTTATTCTTTAATACTTTAACTACTTTCTACTTTTTACTGCTATCATTTTATAAAACATATTAATATTTCTAAATTTCTTCCATGCATATGTAATTATGCGTAGATAATTTTATAATTTCTTATCAAATAAATTAAAACGATATAAAATACATTTTTAGCTCTGAAATAATTAAGTAAAATAACAGAAACATTAATGATTATAGGTTTCCTATTAACGTAAGATGATATAAATGTATAAAAAAATGTTATAAAAAAGAAACATTAACAATCATTTTAAATTAATATATTAAAGCAACACATTTCTCTATAAAAATTGATTATTCAAGTATTAAATATGACATTAAAAATGTAACAAAACATAGTTTGTAATCTGTATATAATTTATATATAATTTTAGAAAAGAAAATTAGCAATTTTATCTTTATGATACCATATTCGTGATATTTGTGACATTATAAAAATTAAATTTTTTTATATTGTTAATTACATACTTTTGACAATGGCATATACAAATTTCTGATGTTTATACTTAATATACAGGGTAATTTGCTTAAATTGAACGTTTAAGTTATTTCCGTTATTATGAAAGTTAGGAAAAAATGACAAAGCGATTTTTGAATGGTTTCAAAGTGTGCACCTGAAAGTGAGAAAAAGAAGTTCTGTCGAGGTCATCATCAATATTTTTTTGTCGGCACCACGACGAGTTCAATGATTTATGATACCATAATGTTGAGATGACCTTGAGATGAAAACGAAAAAATGAATTGATATTTAAAGGATTTAGGAGGAACTTATCTTATGTTATTGCAAGTGTTCAACATGCTAACCGCTTACATCGATACATTTCTGTACACGCTAATGCAATGCTTGAATTGCATTTTTTGTGAAAATTTAGATGTTTAATTTAAGTAAATTACCCTCTATTCTTGAGAAATTATTCTTTCAAAATATATCTTCTTTATAAGTAAAATCTTGTTCCTTTATTTTAAAGGAAATTTAATGCCACATTAATTTATTTTTTAATTATATTTATAATTTTAATTAATTTATTTATTCGCATTACATGTGTATGAAAACGCGCGCATACGTGTGTTTGTATATCATAGAGTTTAAATATAACAAATGAATCTTCGTTTTATAAATATTTTTATGCTAGGCCAGCTTATGTGTGCAATTTCATATCATAAAACAAAACTATAATTGTGTGCAATATACATAACGTTCTTTGATTAATTATTTATAGTAATCATTTATGTATGATACAAACTACAAAAAATAAACTTCTGGAATGATTTAGTGTGCTTTAATAAAGTAACGGTAGACAACAGTTGCCAATACCCCGAGAGCAATAGGAATCAGCCACGATCTCCAAGAACCACTGCAATTACCAATCATCACATCACGACGCAGCATCGACTAGTTAAATATCACACATTTTGAATTTTAATAGTGTATTACTTTGGATAGCACAAATGTCACTCATATATGCTTTAATATATATGATAGATGTGTAGAGGAACGAAAGATCCATATATATTGTTATAAATATAACATGTAACACTTTCTAATATATTTGATTTCTTAATTGTGCTATCCAATGAATATAGATAACTGAACAATAATGAATACAACACCAATGCGGTAAAGATGTTAGTTAGCCAAATTATGTATCTGTAATGCTTTGGTTAATGATACATATGCATTTATATACATACATATAGAATAATAGTTAAGATAAAAAAGGTGTTATACCTAGAACTATCTGATTCAGACACTTCAGTTAACTCACAACGATCTTCTTCTGTTTCGTCTTCCTAAAATTAAAAATATGTTACCCCTTAATCATTGTCATTGATAGTAAAAATAAAAATTAATAACAAATGAACAGGTATTAAGCATTATACATACTTGTACTACTTCTCCAATTTTAAATTGCAACATCAAATCTCTTGCATCACGTGAATGACCAATGTCTTCAAATTCTTGTGTACAATCTCGACCACCTTGTTCTAAAAGAATTTCTTCTCCACCGGGATGCTTAAAGTTAATATATAAAATGAAAGTATTTATGCGTGGTTCTATTAAAAAATATGTTAATCATTAAAAGAAAAGTAATATAAAATATATAATTACATTTGAAAACTTAGTCACATCATAAACTCTATTATTAATAATGAACCATAGATCGCTACTATGGTTATGCTTAGCAACTTCTTCCCGCGTGTAAAATTTGGTATTAGGGGTAATATCGCAAGACGCCATATTTTTTCTGCTGTAGAGAATATTTTACAATTTTATATATATATATATATATATTTGTGTACGTGTATGCACGCGCGCGTGTTCGTATGGTGTATGATATGTATATATATATGTGAAAATTATATAGATGTCACTTAAAAGAATAAATAAAATATTAAATATAATGAATGATGTATGGTTGAAGGTATTACTACGTTAAGGTTTGTTTAGAAAGTATAAATCACACAAAAATTTATTCAACAGCTTATACGTTAACTGCGACTATAGTCACAATCTAGATTCAGTGAATCGGTTAGTAAGTGATTCAATTTTACTCGTACATGGTAGTGATATCAAATTAAAAAATTAGTTATTTTTTTAAAGTTATTAATAATATTTTTTTATATATATTTTTATATAAATTAAATATGTAATAGGTATTTATATAATATATAATACTAAATAATTGTAAAAAATTTGAATGTTTGTAAACGTGTGAATTTAAAATATTTATTAATGTAACAGTATTATAAAAAATTTCATCTAAGTATAAAATATAAATTATTTTCACTATACATATATATTTGGTATTACTACCAGTTTTAAATTGTTAATAATATGCTTTAAAGTTGAACCAATAGAAAATCATGATTATCATTTCATATAAGTAAGTATCTGACTCAACGAATGTATTATATTGTTCAGAATATTAGTGTTTATTTTGAATTTAGTTATTTTCACGAAATATGAATAAGTTTATTTAAACTGCTAATATGATAATTAATCTTTAATATTTTATTTCAGTTTCGACAAGTAATGTGTAGATTTCGTGGAGAACGATTATTCAGTGATTTAAAAATTAAAATAAAATGAACTTTGTCGGTACTTTGTTACTTATTAATTTATTAATCATTTATGTAAAATGTCAATTTTCAATTTCATCACCGATATCTTTCGTGCTTGATGAATTTAGTAATATAGCAACATATACAAAATGTAAATTCGTGGAATGTTGTATAAATGAATATGTTATTTCTGATATTGATAGTATGTACATCAAATCAAAATTTGAGGTTATTGCATTAGAATTTATGTATATATATAAATAAATTAATCGACTATATGTACTAATTTTAGAGTTAGATGATATGTTCAAAAAAGAACTTTATGGACAAACAATTGCTCAATCTGTAGTTATAAATGCTTTACGTGGTCATTTAACTTCATCTAATCCCCCAAAGGCTTTGTCTATGAGTTTTCATGGGCCACCAGGAACAGGTAAAACCTACATAAGTCAAATGATTGCTAAATTTCTTTTCAAGAATGGTGATGGAAGCAAATTTTATCATTTCTTTAATGGTCGTAATGATTTTCCCTTGGAAAATAAAGTAAATGACTATAAGGTATATTTTTACTCTTACTATAAAGTTAGTCTTGGAATTTTAATTGAATATACATTTAGAATTTTACGAATCAAAATGAAATATAAATATGATAATATCTTATTTTATACTATATAGGAAGAACTATACAAAATCATTATTAAGAGTTTACAAAATTGTGAAAGATCAATGTTTATATTTGATGAAGTGGATAAAATGCCAGAAGGTGTACTAAATGTTCTTGTACCATTTTTGGATTATCATACAAAAATTAAATTATGGAGGCTTGATAACAATTTTATAAATACAACGAAAGCAATTTACATATTTTTATCTAATACAGGCAGTATTGGAATTACACAGCGTTTATTAACACTTTGGAAAGAAGGCAAACAGAGGACTATGACTAAACTTCAAGACTTTGAGAACATAATAAGTGTTAGAGCATTCAATGAGAAGGGTGGTTTCTATCATAGTGATACAATAGACTCTAATCTTATAGACCATTATGTACCTTTTTTACCACTTGAAGAAGTACATGTGAGAGAATGTTTAAAAAAAGCTTTTGTAAATAGAGGAGTATATCCTACCAGTGAAATGATAAAAGAAGCATTGTCATATGTTACTTTTGGGCCTCCACCAGATAATATCTATGCAATTGCTGGCTGCAAAAGACTGGAACAAAAAGTCGCTTCTATCATATATGCTAATAAAAAACAAACAGAACTTTAAATATATATTAAGTATTACTTCCTTTTTATGTTAACATTTCGATAATATTTCAATTTTATTTATTATTCTTATTGGCACAATTAGAAAGTATTTAACGATTAAAAAAATAATACAATTGATCTGTTACAATGATACATATAGTGATTGTTTATATATTTGGGTATGTGTATGTTTATATTTAAGAAATAGCTAAAATTTTTATTATTAACAGTACTGAATTTTAGTATATACAATTGAGTCTTGGCAATTGACTTTACTTTAAAGTCATAAGGAGAAAAGCTGTCTAGAAGTATAAACATTTGGTGATGTATATTTTATTTTTTATATGATTTTAATATACAAGTATAGATAGACAACTTTAATCTTTATGACTTTTTTTAACTTTATTCGTACTGTTATATTGTACCGAAAAATAATTGTAATTCTTTTTGTCTATACAAGTAGCTAAATATATATTTATTTTTATGCGTTTTCTCAATTGGCATAATCTCAAGTAAAGAGAACAATAAAATAAACTGTATATTTATTATGATACTGATGTGTGAGGATAAATCTTTCTATATTGTATGTAATGTAAAAATACGATATATTATAGTTTATTTTCTCTTTTTGTTCTCCATTGAGAGGTGATATTTTAATAAAATATTATAATTGCATGATGATGCGATTAATATGTAAAACATTTTTTATCGTCGTGCTATCGCATGGAGAAAATGTCTATGCAATATAATTTATGGTTATTCTTCTTCAACATATTCCTTTGGAAAAAATCCTACTTGATCTCCAATTCTTCCCTTCCACCACCCTTTGGCATCGCCTTCTTTGCTCAATACCACAACTCTAAAACCTCGACGTAGACTTAATTGATTACGTTCTCCTCCGCGAAAATCAAATACTGCTTTAGCCAATACACGTCTATATGGCCATAATAAGCATTGATCTAACTTTTGAAAGTTTTCTGATAATGATGCCCGTTCGTAATAGTCAACTAGTTCAACAACACTTTTGAAGAAACGAGACTCACTGAGATAATATACATCGGCACCATCGACATCGCGTTTAAATACCCTTATATGTTTCACCGCACCGTCTGCCCTGTAATATTAGTTACATATTTTTAAAAAGGTCGGTGTCTAAGAAAATATTATAGAAAAGAAAAGAAATTCTTACTTGATACTAAGTGCGTAATTGGTTTCATGTTTTAAACGCGGTTGTCCCGCAGGTCGTACGCGCAACATATAAGTACCATCTTCACGAGGTTCTAACATATTTGACGCTGTATCACGTCCCATTTCTCCCACAAACCATAATTTCACCGAGAGAATAGATTCACATGGCAAAGGTGGTGGAGGCGGAGGTGGGGGTGGTACTGGCACACATCGACCTGAATGTGCAATGCATTGTTTGTGTACAGCAAGGCGACAGACCTCACATCGATATCCCTATTTGAATAAACAATTCAGTACTAAACTCGTCTTAAAATATTTAATGACTTTTTATTGCCAAGGTTTTACCTGAAAAATTCGGCCTTTTAAAAACTTGCCACATCGCTGACAACTACGTGGAGTGTCGAATGTTGTAAGTTTAAATTTATGATTTGTGTTGCGGCACGCGGCAGGATTAACATTATCCATTGCATCTTGCAATGCTTTAATCCACATTTGCTTTTGTTCTTCTGTTCTTGCAAACAAAGTGTACGCTGTATATTCTTGTTTATGAACTAATAGCCATTGATAGGTCCATCGAGAATCTCTGCCAATTGTTCGTCTTCCAGTATGATCTTCTAATCGATAATCATCGAGGCGTAAGGTTTCACGATAACAATATTGCTCCCCTCTGCCTGCTTTACAAATTAATACTACTTGTTCGAAAACAAATGCATAACGGACTTTTACGCGTTGTTCACCATGTGCTTTTACCTAAAATATAATTGCAACACTTTCTTAAATTTAAATTTTGAAACTATTTATTGCGAAATTTTCATTACCTTAAGCTCTCCATCCCTAAGTAATCGTCCAAAATCTTTTAATTGTGCATCTTCTGGAACGTCCCAATCGATTATCGATGCTTGAATATCTTTTATAATGTCTAACGTGTCCGAGTCACGCTTTACTTCATTAATATATTGTGCTATATCAACCATTACTTCTCTAGCTTTTCCAAGCTGGCGCCTATCTTCTTGCCAATCACAAGGAGTTTCTTCTACTAATTTATCGAGTAATAAGTGATATTTCAATACTCTTTGCATTGGAACAGACAATATATCTCGCAATTTAAATTTTCCATTATTTGCTTTTTGTTGACACCTCTGCAATTATCAATTTTTTTATTAAGTTTATTAGAATATCATATAGTAGGAAGAAATCTATTAAAACCTACAATGACTTGTTGATTAACTACTTCATAACGCGCACATACTTCTTGCAATGTATTTTGAGCAAGAGTAAGATTCGCGCAATAGTCGCCATAAATAAGGAACTTTTCTCGCCAGTCGAGAAAAACCTGCGCTAAAGCAGCGCCGGTTCTTGCTTTCCGATGTTGACTATAAAAACCAGCATGAATTTCTGCCAGTTCTTTTATACCAAAAAAAATACGTGCGGAATCTTCAGGTAGCAATATTGAGGAAAGAGGTCTAGCGAAATGTTTAAGTAAACTGTTAAGAACATCTGAATAATTTCGTTCAGTTTCGACGAGTTCTTGAATTACATAATCCCTTTTTTCACCTCCGGAGATTGCACCATCCTGTTTCATAAAAATCAATTGAAAGTCTTTCTTTTATAATAGATAATAAGGAGTATGAAATGCTATGAAGCATAACAAAACCAATTATGAACGCTAAGATATTAGCGTTTTAAAATGCCATTAGATGAGTTTCTGATGATTGCATACATGTAAAAAACACAAATATTTAACGACCTGTGCAACAGATGGAGGAGGTGGCAAGTGTAGACTACAAAGGTCCTGGTAGATTTCTTCACTTTGAGCATGGCTGCAGTATGCTCCATATCCATCTTCCTCCCCAACTGGATCTTCATTGTCCCCTCCTCCACCTGCCTCCTCTCCTTCCCGCCTTCTAAATCTTCTGCGACGACCTTCATCTTCACGGCTTTAGCATAAAAATATGAACAGCCATGCACTATTCATGCATGAAAAAAATAAAATTTCTTGCGAACTTAAACTATTTGTAGCAACTGTAGATTTTGTTACTAATAATAAATATTGTTTAGCACATCAAATTTTAGAGCAAATGCAGAATAAAATTTAAAATAGTGCCAGTATCACTGCAGTTAATTTAGGTATTTGTAAATAATATTTATTTGTACTTTAAATAGATAACGCTTGACTATCTTTGCTTATAGTAGAATACAGTGATGTGTGGTACTTTTATTGCAAATCTTTAAACATTTAAGTTGCAAACGACAGATACCTTCTCTGTGGAAGGCCAGTCGTGTTGAGAATTACTCGAGAAACAGAGTAAACCCTGATATACTTGAGATTCATCTACATCCATACCCTTAGGTTTCATGGTAAATGTCCCCATTCCTGTTGTGGGACTAAACCCATTGATAGAAGTTATTAGAAATATAGATATCTTTTTACATATCAATTTTTATGATAACTTTATGAACCTTCTATCTTTAAGGAAAATATATATTTTTTTGTACATTACTCTTTAACTGTAGATGTATATAGAAATTACAGAACTTTGTGAAAATTTAGATACTTACCCTGCACCAGCACTTTGTAAATCCTTATAAATATCCTCTTGTGATCTACCATGACCTACAGAAAAACCACTGTAACAAATATTTGTCATCAAATTAAAATAATATAATTTATGGATAAAAGATTACGTGATGATAAATTACTTACGGTATACCCTTACGTCTTAAACGAGGACAATTTGATAAAGCTGATAAGGTACATAATACACGAAGAAAATCTGATAAATCAAATAACATTGAAGGTTCAAAAAGCTCAGAATCAGTTAAGCCAAAAGTAGTTGAACATGCTAATAAAAAGACTTTTATATTTCTTAAGCATAAAAATTGTGCCATTTGTGGTTTTTGATTTACATCTTTCATATCTATACAACCAGGGTCCACTGTATTTAGAAGATTACATAGCAATACACCATCTCGCAATGTGTATGCTAAGTCAACTGCAGTTGCCTCTGGCCAATTTGCTTTATGATCTGCTCTCAAAGCTCCGCATCTTGTTAACCATTTGACACATTCATGCCATCCACTTCCATTATCTGAGCTGCTTTCTATTCTGCTCATTTTTATTTCTTCGATTTAATACAAAGTATTAAAAGTTTATAATAAGAATTCTTTTAATGTATAATATATTAGGCCATAAAGGTTTCATAGATGTATTTTCTTATGCTAAGAAACTGTAAAAATGCAAAAATATGATTAAAAATAACAATGACTATAGATATACTTTAACAATTAAAAATAATAAAATAAAATTATATCTAATAGAGTAAATTTAATAGATAAAACTATCAAAATTGCACTTAGATAAAAGATATCATGAAATACGTGTTACGAAAGTATATAGTATTTTTTAAAATATACCTCTATTCAACGAAGAATTTATAAACTGTTTCTTCGTTCTTTCGTCAGTACTAAGAATATTCTGTAACAAGTTCTATAAAGGAATTCATTATTATGTTCCGTGTCGGTTCTTAAAGATATCTCATTGGAATTTGTAGTGCCGTTTAAAATGGTTTATTGGCAGTGTCATTGCTAAGAAAACATTTTGCCGAATTTCAACTTTAATACGTGGTTATTACTTCACACGATATGTCTTGTTTTCTCATTGTAATATTATGACGTTCGACCTGCTGCAACTTACGATCGCCATATTACTACTTCACTGCAGTCGATCATATTATAAATCTCAGTGCAATGTTTGTTTCAGGTAGTGAACCGTAGATGGAGTTAAATGTTTGTTTATATGCACGTTATATTCTAAACTTCAGTACTTGAGCTATAGAAACGAACTTGATAGATTTATATAAAATTTCTACTTAATAAAATATTATACATTTATATTTATTTATAATTATCAATAATTTATTTCGTACGTATAGAATTAATTAAAAACAAATTTTTAATTATTTAGACATTATACGAGGACTATAAATATACTGTCAAAGAGAATTATAAAATTTATAATACAAAATAATGTGTGAAGATTTAATGTCATATAAACGTTTAATCATATAATTATAATTGTATATAGGTATATATATTATTTTTATTAGATAGTAATATATTATACGAATAAGGACAAAAGCTATTTTTGTAAGAGAATTATATCAATTATTATAAATGCAAAAAACATAATGTTTGAAAGAGAATACACTGATCAGTCAACCAATAGGATAAGCAAAATCTAATGACGTTAAGTGATGTTTCATCTATGCTTCTTGGTACACTTTAGGGTTACTGTTGTAACTGTACAGTGTTTAATGCAGTGATAGTAGTGTCACTGTTGGGACAACTACTGAGTGATATCTTACTAGTGACACATCACGATAGATCACAGTGCATCTTTGATTCATTTTATATATAGATCATTTACTAGATCGCATAATCTAGGTAAGTTTTATATATAGATCATATTGTTTTTATTAATATAGATATTATAATATACATGTGTTAAAAACTAAAAAGACATAAAAGGATAACAGCTTTGAAAATGTTTTGGTTTTGTCTATTGTATTCGAATAATTTTCTTTGTCTTCTAAACTATTATATAGGGTGTCTCAGAAATTTGGTGCTAACCTTTAGGGGCATGTAATATTTATCAAAATAAGTGAAAAGATCTTAATAAACATGGGTTTAAATATTATTAAATTGGTATATCATTATATCGAATGTAACAAATTTTAATCTTTATTTAATTTATGGTAGAGAAATAAATAAATACATATTTTATTTATATATATTCTCGTATGATATTTTTAATTTTTACTTTCAGACTACGTAAACAAAATACCGTTCTTAATAAAGAAAGTTTATTGAAACTGCTTATAATTATATCAATATTCTATTTAATTTATTTATTTTGATAATATTATGGTTAGATAACTGCTTCTCGCGTATAATATAGTTATCTATGTTCGAAATATTTAATTTTATCATTATCTTTCTATTTCATGCTTAGAATTTTAGATAGAATCATTTAGAAATTATCTTTTTATTTATTTTTTTATCTTATTTCAGTGAATTACTAAGAACATGCAACTTCTACTTCACGCAATTACGTTATCGATTGTATGTAATGTTGCATATGGTAATTCGTCCAGCAATTTACAATGTAAAGATGAAAATAATGTATCGGTGGATTGGTACGTTATTCATACCATTCATTACTTTCCACATAATGTCCACATATTACACGCTTTCGTCTTACTCTGGAATTATTTTCAATGCGATTAATATCGTGCTAATTTTTGGAGGAATGACTTTTATTCTATGAAACTAATAATAAAAAGGTAGTTTAATTGCAAGTACGAATTGCTGTTGTTGTTTTAGGTACGTACTTTATAAGTTGCCAAAAATTCAGACGAGTAGTAATCCCCTGATTAGAGGAGGTCTCGCTTATCTGTACATAACGAACGCAACTATTGGAACCGGTTGGCAATTGTCCACTACGTCCATCGGTTCGAACAATTCTATCCCTGGAATTACATTAGCGCCTCTTTACAATCGTGTAAGCATTTAACAAATACTAATTGCCGATTTGTTAGTAATAGAGTTGGAATTTAAAGATTTGTACGCAGATAGAGATGAGATTTTCACCGTAATTGAAAATATTAGTAACGATAATGATGAATCACTGAATAATATGTTATTAAATAGGGTAACGAAGAGAAAAATTTCTGGAATTTATATGATGATAATCCGCCAAATGCTTCTTATGCCTGGAGTTACGGTCACACGAAGGGTGTAGTGATGGCGAACAGCGATCGAGGCTTTTGGTTAATTCACAGTGTACCGCAATTTCCACCAGTTCCGAAAGCTGGTGTACAAACTCGACCATTAAACAAGGAAAATATAACTATCGTCGGTAAATACAGTTATCCAGAAAGTGGAACGTTGTACGGACAAAGCTTTCTGTGTATTTCCCTCGGTAGTGATCAGTTCAATATTGTTGGAATACAATTAATGTACAACGAAATAGCAGTGTATGCAAGAAATATTCCCGATATGCTCGATAAACAGTATCCAGCACTGAGAAACGCGACCAAGCAACAGCATATTAAAAACCCACCCTACAATCATAAAACTATAATAAAGTCTTTAGGAGAAGTTGAATTCACTTCGTTTGCTAAAACTGGAAAGTGGGGAAAAGGTAAATTGTACTTATAATACTACATTTCTCCGTCTCATGAGACATATTTATGTTGTATCTGTTAAATTTTAGATTTATATGGAGATTTTATAGCACCACAATTACAGTCGAGTTTATTTGTTCAGTCATGGTTGAATTCGAAGGGAAAGTTACCGTCAAATTGTTCCCGTATGAAGTAAGTAATATCATGTTTAAAATGTTTGTCCCTTTGTTTCCAGATTTTTTCAGTTCACAAATACGTCAATTTTTCAGAATCTTCAATGTTAAAACACTTAAATTCGAGACAGCGAACGTAGATTATCCTAGTAGTCACGATCATTCCAAATGGACTATTACAGACACTACAAAGTCTACCAAACATTGGGTTTGCATTGGTGATATTAATAGAGCTGTAAATATATTTTTTATTCTAGTTTAACGTTGAAATGTTTACGATAATAAGATGCTGAAGATATTTTTCCATTTAGAATACGCAGTTTACCCGAGGAGGCGGAGCTGTGTGCTTTAAGGAACCGCGCTTGTGGAGTGATTATCGCAATATCATAAATGACGTAGAGCCTTGTCACTATGCGTAGAAACATTAGGAAGGTATGACATATTTATTCGTGATTTTTTATAGTAAAAATTAGTTTTGAAGGAACATAAATATCGGAAGATAGATACGAATAAGGGTTAAACGATAATTTATGCATTTCGATAATACGAATTTCCACATACGTACCTCCATGAAAAGAAAGGATTTTGAAAATATTAATTAGTGGGATAAAAGAATATAGAGATTTTGATGTAACAATGTTTTAGTGGACTTTATATTATCTGATTAACAGATGTTTTTATCAATATGCATCGGAAACTTGTGCAACACCAGTGTGAGGACACAAAGTAATAACCGTCGTATTAACTGTAGTTTACTTGCAAGTGTATAAAGAAGAGGTCTCGGTGGCTCTTTATTACTGTGGAATAAGGACGAACGACGAGGATCAGAAGCAGTTCTTAAATTGGATTTTATGAAAGGCGGCAGCGACTCTTCCTGCACCGACTCTCGTTTCGTCTTTCTTTTTCTCAACCGTGCTTATTGTCTACCTAAGGAAATTGCAGAGTAGCTCGACGTGCCGTTAATGAAAGAAAAAAGAAGGTAGCCGAGGTTTAGTAAGCGGAAGAAGAGAGAAACGACTTGCTCTTTAATGAAAATTCCGAGGAATCGACTGAACTTCGGTCCACTCTTTATCAGCCGTTTCAAGTTTCTCTATCTCTTTGATGGACTTTATTTTAGAGATTTCCTTTTCGATAAACAAAATTTTGTCTACATATTATATCAATAAGAACTGTATCTATTATCAACTGTACTCATATTTATTATAATTGTTGTACTGCCTGTTCTTGACCAAGTTTTTCTATTTTCTTAGATGTAATAAAAATGTACGCTCTGTTTATGATACCGAGAGTTTATAAACAGGACAAATGTGATAACAACAAATTCGACAATTACAGTATATGTTTTAATACACGATATAGGAATAAAATTGACGATGAATTATTTATTTCCTTTTCGCGATGTGCGATTATTTTGTAGAACAACGAATGTGAATGCGATTGCTATCGTCTCAGAAATCAGTAGAGAAATGTTAGATTAACGAAAAGGGAAAGGAAAGAGGGATAAACTGGTTTAGATGAAAAAATCGATGGGCAAGAGGGTGGAGAGGGTTAAAATTCGCGGGTGTTCATCCAGGCGTGAATCAACCGGTGCACGCTGTCAGGAGACAAAACAACGGTGAAAACAAGAAGCGAGGGAGTTCGGTAAAGCAGCTGGAAGCGGATGCTTGGAAAAACAAGCTGGCTGCCGCTGAAAGGGGATTAAGAGCAGGGACGCAGGGATTCCTTTAATACAGATCTGGCAGCTGGCAGCTGGTAACATTCGATCAATTTCTTAAAGTTTACATAACTATGCTTATTCGTTTCCTTGATTTATCGCGAAATTCATCCGTGTCTTAATCTATTTTAGATAAGAAGAAAGCGATTCATGTATACATACCTATCGCCAGGAAAACTCGGAAATCTATTTAGTTTTGATCGATATATGAATTTTGTTTGAAAATATTTTTTAAGTGTATTATGCCTGTAATGGGTAAAATATAAGTTACAAAAAATTGCCTAGAGATGGCAATTTTGAAAATCGTAGTGAGATCATGTAATAAGTTAATGAAATATTATTGATATATTTCATGCCACATACCGTTTTCAGTTAGCGTACTTAATGGGGCGCAGATTTCGGTTGAAGCATATAGTGGTGTCGTAAAAGGCCATGAAATTTCGGCGGCTGGAAAGATGAGAAGACGACGCTGCGGTGTTCGTAGCGATATTTCAGCATTAAAGGCACCCTGTTCTGCATACTAAAATCCTGTACACCATCCAAATATACGCGCAACGTTATATGCATGAAACCATCGTGTGTCGTGCTTCGCGTGTGTACTTAAGCACATTGCCAGAGCGCATGCGTGAGGTTCCATCATCCTTTTTCCTCCAGTCGCCAACATCCTTTACCACCTAGCTTCGTGTCTATAGTTTATGTACAGGTATGTATCGCACCGGATAGAGCCTTACGTGAACTTTAATATTGTCTTATACCTACGTGTGTAAAAGAGAAATCACAGTGGTACTTTTGGATTAAACATCAAGCTTTGTCGGTCTTTTATACAATTGTGATAAGTGATTATATTTAACCGAATAAACAACACAAGAGAGCGAATACAACGTAATTTTGAAAATTAGGTTAGGTTTTAAATAATAAATTTTTATTAAATTCCAAGAAATACACAATACAACAGTTTTGTTATGTATAAAGATAATAATCGATATTGGATGATTTTCCATTGATTTCTTTATTTTTTAAAAAAATGTACATACACATGTAAGATTTAAAAGTTGTGACAGGGAACGTTTTTCTCCCTCAAAATTTTCATGTATGGGCATAATTAGGAATTCGGTCGTTGAGGAATTAGAAATTTAAATATAAGGCATATGTGATACAAAAACTATAAATAAAATGTGAACAATCGTGTGAAAGGAACGAGGAATTTAGGTTAAGGTCGTAATCGATGTTACACGTGTCTCTAGATTCAAGGGGCTATGCATATGTAACAGAGATATCTGTAGACCAAGTTTAATATTCATATTGTAGACCTCAGAGTAATTTCCTCTATTGTACTAGAAAGTTGAAGCAATGTGAATGCTCTGGTCGATGTTAATATTTACATATATGCTTTATGCAATATTTCCTGTTCTGAACGTATCGTGTATGAATTAAAGTTGAGATTTCAAAGCATATGTAGAAGTATATACATATATGTGAAGTATGTAAAAAGTATTTTATTTTTTTTAAATCATCTTTCTGTAAATCATACCTGCGTAAATATATTTTTCAAGAATATGTTATTTCTGTTTTAAAATGTTGTACATACAATGCTCCTGTTCAACTCATTCTCTAGAATACTTATCTTCTCTAGGAACTCGCTTGCAGGAGTACACGTGTGTGTGCGTGTTCTTTCGCACAGAAATCAAAACAACGAGGAACGGTTAACCGATTGCAGTGCTTCGTCGTTTGCTAATAAAAACAATTCCTGCCGCGCTAAAAATTTCGGTTTGCCTTGCGGTTTTGAATGGAGGGGGAATCGAAGCTCCCTCGCCTACCCGGAAATTTCTAGACAACATAGTCGACGTGGAGTGTCATTCGGTAGTTGCAAGTGGTAGCGATGAGTCGTATCGTTCCTTCTGAGGTGCGTGACCGATCCAACTGCGTAGTACGTATATATATATCTATTGCCATTTCGTTGTACACTAATTTAAGCTTCATCGAGTCGATACTCGTTTATTTAATAATTTATCGGTCATTTTTATAACAAAATTAAATCGTATTTTACGTTGTTTACGTTTATTTTTTTTTTCATTGTGTTTTCAGGTACCGAAGTTATTGGCAGCCTGCTATCAGTTTCTGAAACATCAAGTAATTGAATTTGCCTATTGCTTTATTTTGATATAATTGATTTCATGTTTATACATTTGCTTTAAACCTTTAGTTTTGATTAAACCGTTATTTTGCGCATGTAATTCCATAGTTTATTTAGAATATTAACATAAAACTAGGAAAGGTTAGGGAAATCATATTTCTATTTTGGATATAGTACATAACGTTTTTATTTGAAATCGATTAAATCAATCGATCATGTAATAGGAAATCCCGAATAACTTAATGGTAATTTGGAGTGGATTCGCCAAGCCCTTTTATAGTTAGGTATAACGTAGACAATTGGTACGAGTAATCGTGACCGAAAATAATTTGTTACAGTTATTTATAAACTCGGAATATATCCAATATGAATATTTACAAAACTCACGCGAATATGCAAACACGAATAACAGTTTTCAATTGCTGAAGGAAACAAGTCTAATATGGCTAATAAAGATAAATATACATACGATTGTAGAATGATTTAAGGAAGAAGGTTTATTGTTGTGGGACTAAATCGCGAGTGTACCGGGAACTGCATTAAGGCTGTAGGAACTATCAGGGAGGTTCCCTCTAGTTGCAACATCGCCGGGAAACTACCCCGAACAACTGTCTCGGCGTAACCGAACTCAAATACATCACCGTCGTAGTTTCAACCCGGAGCTTCCGGTACTTACCAAGAACTTATCGGACGGCGGAAGTATCGTTGACTCATAACCGTCGACTTATTACTTCCTTGTAGCTGAATTTTCAAATTGAAGATAATGATATTTCAGTAGTCCTTGCGCCACGAATTGCGCTTTCAGGTAGGATTAGTTTCGTTTTAGAGCATCGTGAAACTAAACTCTTCCGAGTCTTTTCATTTCAGGTCTCTAACTTTTCCCCTGTCAATGTTAAAAAGCGTTCGATGTAGAAGTGTAATGATATACATAGGAATATAAGGTGAAAAGGAAAGGAATTAAATAAGGGGTTGAGTAGCGTGCGGGGGTGGGGATAGGGCATAGGTGCGATAGAGGTAACGATACCAGTAACGCGAGTAGAATTAGAGGGTAGCAAGTAGAGAATCGCAAACGCAATGTTAAGGCCGTGTAGCATAGCGAGATGGTCTGCTCTTGTACAGACGCGGTAGAGAATAATTCAAGTAGGTAGAAACTGGAAGGATAAGGGCGAGGGTTGCGTGGCGGTGGAAATTGCGGATGGCAGGGGTAAAGCTGTAGCACTCCGCTTAGACAAAGCCTAACGAAGCTTCTATTCAGCAACAGTAGGCATCACGAGGCCCAACTTCACTTCTATTATACTTACTCGTCGGCACGAAGTGAATTCCATCCATCAACGGAATTCCAGGCTAAGCAGCTCTCGGCTGCCTGGCATCTCCATCTCTGGCACGAGAGGTATTCTCTCCTTTTTTGGGGTTGCATCCTCTTTGTCTTTACCTCGCCGCTTAAAGTACCCGGTGTTTTCTTCTTTTCGTCGTCAACATTTCCATGTACACAGTGTCCTGTGCTATTCACGAGGGTTCATGGTTCCTCTATTAGACTCTTCCTCCATCGATCTTCCATTCCAATGTCACTGAACTTCGACTGAGTCCGAAGCCAGACCGATAACGTGACTTCTGTTTACCAAACGAATGTTTCGTTGTAACGTAGCGTATAGGAAACGTATAAAATCAAGCGTCCGATACGCAGTGATCCAGGAATCTTTCCTTACCGTACTTATCAGTTATTTCTATTTGTATTTTCCCGCCATCGTCCTTTTTTCTCGTACAACCGTAGACTTATCGACAGCCAGGGATATGTTGACGCGAATCTGTGGCTAGGATAAGCGCGTCTCCAGCGTAATAAAACTCCCGGAGGGAAGCCGACACCGTTAGTAGGAACTTTTCTTCCAAGAAGAAGAAGAGGAAGACGAGGAAGAACTGGAAGAAGAAGAAGAATCAATCCCGTAACGTCGCTGGGGTTTACGTATAGTCTAGTTCTGCAGACCGTAACAAACTTTAGTTTTCATTACAAAAATTTCATATTTTACTTGCCTCCTATGTTTCTCCGCATACTTTCAAAGTTACAAACTAAAAATACTTGTCTTCTAATCGGTTGTACAATCGATATCTTCTCTTCTCGCAATTTCATCTAATCGGGATACATCGCGTAAGAACATTCGATGATAGAAAACGAATTTCTACTACGTATATCCGAGTTTGCAATTAGCAGCTGGGAATTACTTCATCGAACACTAACGGGAAACATGTTTTTAAATATATAGCCCATATACGCGTAACGCGTTTTTAGTCAAGTCG